TACTATTTAAAAAATACGAAAAAATTGTTTTGTCGGGAGCCAAACCCAACCTTTGAGTTTTACGCGCTGACCCAAAAACGTTTTACCGAGACAAAAAAGATTTTTGAGAGTGAATAGTGATTGCCTGTTTGATTGCTGTGAATTATTCGATAAACTTTTTATTTGACGATTTTTCGATATTTATCAGTTAATTATGCTGATAGTTACTCATTAACTGTAATTTTGAATCGCAATGATAATCAAAATAGTTTGATCGTTCGTAACAAATTTATAAAAGACGTATAAAAAAAAAACAAGATATAATAAAAAATGGAGGCAAGATTTTATTTTATTTATCCAGTGATCTAGGTTCATAGTCTTGTATTCACTCAAATAAAAAGCACAAATTTAAAAGAAACTGAACGTAAATGCGACATTATTCGCTTAAATCGTCGCAAAATATTTTTTTTCTAAACTAGACATTTTATAAATTTTACTCAAATTAAATTACATATTAATAGCACAGTTTTTAAATTATAAAATATTTAAAACATAGTTTAAAAATTCATGGAATAAATTATTGGCTGTTGTAAAAGAAAGTTGTTTTTCTTTAAATGTTGTAAAAGAAACTTAATTTATTAAGCTTTTAATCAAAAGGAAGAAGGGAAAAAAATTACGCTAAAGCAATAAACAAAATTTATAATATTATGAAAATAAGTCAATGGAAAATACTTACCACTTGATCCCAGGAACTTTTTTCACAAAAGTTTACGCGGCATAACAGATTTCATATTAGCAAAATTATACGCCGCAAAATTAAAATGGCTTTAAATTCACAATAATATGAATTATAAATAGCTAAATAGTTAGCTCAATTCCAAAAATTAATATTCACTGGGTACAAAGTTTGGAACAAAGGAGACTTCTTGAGAGTACTAATACTTGTTCGTAGTCGGAGGAGCTGTGATAGACTGGCGGGAGACCGGGCAAAGCTAGCTTTTATAGTTGCATCTATGGAGGGATGAGGTAATTACACGCCCAACCTGTAGCATTGCACCCAGATTTCAGGGAGGCCACCCTTTTACACCCACTGGACATAGGGTTGCTAGTCATCATTTTACAATTCGATAATTTCTCTAAATCTGTTACATTTATGCAGGTTGCATATTTAATATTAGCATTCTCGTCAATAACTTGATTGATTCATTCATCGCTTAATCATCGCTCATTTTTTTATAGAACAGGGGGCAAACGGGCAGGAGGCTCACCTGATGTTAAGTGATACCGCCGCCCATGGACACTCTCAATGCCAGAGGGCTCGCGAGTCCGTTGCCGGCCTTTCAAGAATTGGTACGCTATTTTCTTGAAGGACCCTAAGTCGAATTGGTTCGGAAATACTTCAGTGGGCAGCTGGTTCCACAAAGTGGTGGTGCGCGGCCACACTGCCTTGAAAAACGCTCAGTTGTGGAACGGCGGACGTCGATCTATCTAAAACAGATAGAATCAAAACAATCACAGTATTGATTTCCCAAGATTTTTAAAACAAAATATTTTGCTGTTGCTAAGCAAAATATTTAACGATACTGGTAATAGCTAATTAGTAGGAATTACAACACCATGGAAACGGAACGTGTCAGATTGGGAAAAGGAAAAAGTATTGTATAAACAAATCGTCTATAAATCACGTATATTTTTAGAAGGGTCGTTGTACGAAAATCTTTTGAAGAAGCGTATAATATACCTTTTAATGCTTTCCAAGATATATCGCTTGGTATGAGGCTTTTCATAAAAACCACTGAGTATTATACAAAACCAAGTACAAATTATACATATAAGATATCATTTTGTTACGTTTTTAATAAATTTAAATATATAGATAAAATATATCATTCAAAGCACTTGTTGCACACAACACGATATTCGCAATTGCAGCGACTATTTGATCTTGACAGATTAACTGATCAGTTGCTTGTCAAAGAAATGCAGAAATGTATCTTATCTTGTTACATTATTTATACGTGAATAAAGTAATATAAAATATGCAACAACCCTTAAATAAATAACGATATACCAACTGCGCCATTTATTGATTTTTGATTAATGTTGTAAGCATTTCTAGGTAAAAGTTTACAGATATATATTGTATATAACAGTTTTCGGATTATGAAAATCCACATGTAGGCGTGGCTAGCTACCACGCCCAAACAATGCCACGCCTCTCACACCCAACCCATTCCAAGAAAATGTTTTTATTTTCAATGTTATATACATGCGAATGTTAGGTATTGATTTCAATAGAATTACATAACAGCTAGAGTGAGCTAGAGATAAATACATAAATTGTACCTATAGATGTGATAGATGAAGTATAGATAGATACTATTATAGCCTAATAATATTCTTCTCAATCCCTTGCTTAAGTTTCAGGACATTAGATGGACCAAAGTAATATTCTACATTCTGCAATCGCATAAGAAATTACTGCAGAAAGGACTGACTGTATGTATATAAATCAAAACATGCCCCTTACATACAAGTCGTTAAATAAAATATATATTTAATAGTTTAAACAAAATTTAAGAAATATTACCTACTATGATATTACCATTAAACTCCATTACGATTGAAGTACAACGATAATAGACATTACCGACACAATGAACAGCGTTGACCCAGTGACATAGTGCGTCTCTGAATCCGACGGTAATGCTATTTTCTTTCTAGGTGCACAATTAACATTTACACCTACGCTGAAGGCAAATATCGTGAGAAAACTGACTTGTCTTAAAACCAAAATGTGTGTCAGGCAAAAATAAACAATCATTTGTGTTCAAATGATCAGTTGGTATATCGAAAAAATGGATACAAGCATAGGTTCAGTGGCGTATCAATAGGGTGGCAGTGCTGGCAAAATGCCACGGGCCCCTGACCCAAGAGGGCCCCTGACTAATAGATATATAATGTACTATGGATGAATGTGAAGTCTCCAATTGGGCTAGCGTGGGGACTACTGACCATTCCCTCTCGCCTAAGAGAGGAGGCCTTTGGCCATTAGTGGGACATATACCACAGGGCTCAATTCTTGGCCCTTTCCTCTTTCTTGTTTATATAAATGATCTACCTTTCATGGTAGAGAGAAAACATCAGATAGTTTTGTTTGCTGATGACACGTCCTTGATTTTTAAAATCAAACGACAAATACAACATGTAATTGAGAACGCTGAAAATCTTTTTAAAATTAAAAGTTTATTAAAATTAACTGAATGCAACGTGACGATTTTTAATGATAGGACCCCGTCAAAAGAATTTTCCACGGGCCCCAGGTGGTATAGTTACGCCACTGCGTAGGTTGGCTAACTTATAATACTTACCCAAACATGAAAAAAAATTAAATAAAAGTAGCCTTTATTCGAGTACACTATAACAACAGTAAGTCCATGTCTTTTAAGTTTTACACTATTACTCGACCTCCGACGGAGCGAACATAAAAATACAGTCACGAAGTTTTTCGTAGCGACTATCGTAGCACATCAACGACTTGTAGGTAGTTTTTTTTTAGAAATAGATTAATAGTAGTAGTGTCTCTTATTATTCGTATCAATCAAATCAAAATACGTTTATTCAATTTAGATGCGTCTTAGGGCATGCTTATGAATGTCAAAAACGTTTACAAAATTCGCGAAAGAGCAAGACTACGCCATCCGTTCGCAAAACTACCAGAAACTCAGCAAGTTTTGCCCTCCCTCTCCATTACAATTATTCAAAGGAAAATGTCATAAACCACGTCATTAAAGTTACATTAGTAAAAAAAAAATATAAAAATCTGTTCTGTGATTTACCACATTCACCATTACACACAAATCGAATTATAAGAATATAATTACAACTATTGCCAAGCGTTTTTATCTTCCAGGTAGTCATTGACTGTGTAGTAACCTTTACACATTAAGGTTTTCTTGATATGTGTTTTGATCTGTTTAAAGGCAGTTCCAATATTTCACTAGGAATCATGTTATAGCAGCGTATACATAGGCCCATAAATTAAGTATTTATTTTCTGCACCTGTAAGACGGCTGGAAAAGTTTTCCCTTTATTTCTTGTATCCCTATTGTGAATGTCACTGTTCTTTAAAAGAGAACTAATATTATTTCGTTTTCCTCTCTACTCTGTTTGTCTATTTGTAGTAGGGCAGATTCATTTAAATGTCAGTCCCATATCAAAATATTGTTGCTAAATATTTACCTAATTAGTAGGTCGGCGACCAATTTTAATCTAATAAAATCATCATTCATAGTATCTAATAAAATCTAGTCTATTGCTTACATTTAAAAAAGATTTTTTTCTAACTAGGACATTGATGCCTCTGATTAAAATAGTATAGCTGGAAACGATAATTGGTAAGCCCGCCCACTTGGACTAAAATTAAGCAATGACAAAGAAAAAACAGACAAAGACGTGTTCTTACAGCCACATAAACATTAGGTCCATTTTCTAATTAGTATGTCAAAATCTCGTCTTGAGCGCTGTCATTATGTCAAATTTCATACAATAAAATGGTTTGAAAGTTAGACGGCTCATTGGTCTAGTGGTTAGTACCCCTGACTGCGAATCCATGGGTCCCGGGTTCCATCCCCGGCTGAGACAAACATCGATGTGATGAGCATTTGGTGTTGTGCTTAGGTCTTGGGTGTTTAAATATGTATTTATATGTCTATCTATCTATAATATGTATGTACATATATCCGTTGCCTAGTACCCAGAACACAAGCTTCACCAGCTTAGCTTGGGACTAGGTATATTGGTGTGAATTGTCGTATTATAGTGCGGGGCACGACTATTTTTGCGATCAAACAAACCCAAATATGTATTGGGTTTTTGTAACAGAAAATTGCAGGCGACAATTCTTAGTAATGTTTCAAATTAAAAACGATTCAAGGCCAAAATCTTTAATAAAATATATAACATTAAAAACAATATATTACATTATCTTGAAATACAATCGATCTATCTGTTTAAACAGGTCATTTTATATTTTTATTCAACTTAGAAGCATTTAACTTAATTACTTTATTTAAAATAACATGTGCTTCGTCATAACACGGATTAAAATGCTCCCGAACTTTAGGCCACCATTTTGCAATGTTCGGAAAGTCCGCCGTCGGATCAAAATTAGGTAGTTCTGTAAAGTAAAAAAGGAATCAAGAACCTATAGCTAGTAGGAGTAAGTCAAACTATGAACCATTTGTGTATAATATCATTTATCACCTTTTTGAACTTACTACCAAAGAAAACGATTAGATATTAAAATAATTATAATAATCAGTGGAGCTTCAAACATTATAAGACTTCAGCTCAAATAGCATCTCTTTGTTTTATAATATTAATTTTTATAGAAAAGTATCCTGATTCTAAAAATATTGTGCATTTCAGTCTAAGGGAGCGTCCAAGTATTACGTAACGAATTTTGGGGGGGGAGGGGGTCCTTTTGTAAAACGTTACGGTGCGGGGCGGGGATAGAATTACGAATTATTTTTAATGTTTTTTTTCGACTTTCCAGTACTTTACACCACATAATGGTAACTTTTAGGTATAAAGAGGTGGTGTAGGTGGTCACGAAACGTTTTACTATTGGGTACAGAAAAACGTTACGGCGCGTTATGTGGGGGAAGGGGGGTCAAGAATCTCCAAAAATTGCGTGACGTAATAATTGAACGCTCCCTAATGCAAATACGATTGTGACTAAACCCGCTTTTAACTTAAAACATTTTGTCCTATTCTGAGACTTACTTAGTTGCTCTAGGTCCACTGCAGCAAAGAGGTCAGCCACATTAATAGTGTCACCAGTCACAAACTTATTGCATCCAAGCCATAGTGTATCAAACTCTTCTAGTGCATTTATCATTTTCTGTTTATAGCTGTCTACTTGCTTGGGGTCTGGACTTTTCCCGGTCAAAAGTGGGTTTATAAACTAAAAAATGCATCAAATAAAAAAGAAGCCAATACATAATATGTATTGAAATAATTGAAATATATACCGCAGTCCTAAAGAACAGGTTACCAGGTAATTTTAAACCAACATGTTGCCATTCTAAATATTCATCCACTCTTGCTTGTCCTTTGCTGTCTTCTGGATATAAAGTTTTGGATATCATGTTCTCTCTAGCAAGATATTTTGTTATGGCAACACTGTAAGAAATTATTATAGCATATAATTATTATGTAGTTCAACATGCTAGAAGCTGAATAAGCTGATGCATGTCAGCAGATTGGACAAAAACAATATATCTATTAATTTAGTTCTAACCTTTTAATACGGCTGGTATATATCTGCATTTGTTTATTAATATTTTTTGGGGACATTCCTAGGTAACTAGACTTTTATATCGAGCAACATGTAACAATTCTTCTCCATAATATGAAGGGGCTACCTTACTACCTTTTGGAAGGGGCAACCAGACTGCTTTTTAATATTTTAACTTATTATTTTGACTTTTAAAAGTGCCTTTTTAAAAGGCCTAATTGAAATTGATTTGACTTTCACTTTGAATTGTTTCTCTGGAATCAAACTTTCTTTATAAACAGAGACTATACCGATTTAGTTCTTAAGATCCTCTTAATAAGTCTTATCAAAAAACTCATCATATTCATAGAACTTAATGTTTTTTTTATTAAAATTGCAAGCTGCTTATTAAATATTGAAAAGCAATAAAATTATATTAATATAGAAGTAAAAAAATACCTTTCCATTAAAATAAAGCCATTGTGATCAATAGCAGGAATCTTTTTGAACCGGTTTATCGCTTCATACTCAGGCTTCAATTGATGTCCTAAATAAAATTAATTAGATATTGAAATAAATAAACTATAACGATATATAAAGGTTCTGATTACCTTTTCCCATGTCTAACAACTTCGGTTCAAAATTACACTTTGATGTTTTTAACAAAACATACAAAACCCTACAGGGTGGTGACATAAAATCGTAGTACAATTTTAAACTCATTTTATATTAACTATTTTGAAATGAAAGTAAAAATTTAAATGCAGTTAGAAGATGGTAAGAAGTAAGAACTAAGAAGTAATAATTTCAAGTTTGGAACTATGGACTTATGGAGTATGGAAATGGTTAATGGACTATGGACCTAAAAAAATCATTGCAATTTAGACCCACAGATACCTAATATTTGTTTGAAACTATCGGTTGTTTTTTTATAGATAATATTAATTACAACATTCCTACATATATTTATCTATAGATTACATATAAGTATAATTTCCAATTAAATTTAAAGTAGACAGTAAACAGGTTACCCCCTGTAATGCCCCTTGCGTTAAATTAGCAGTAAACGCGCATAATTCATAAGAAATATCAGCATATAAATTTTCGGAGACTAACTTTGGATTTCTCCTTAGTAAAAGTTACTTAAAAATTTGTAGCTCCACTATTATTATTATAAAAAGCTACTTAGTACATCAGAGGAGATTAAATTAATAATAAATAAAATCTCTCAAAACTCAAGTCCAATTAGTTATTATTGTGTTAGTTACAATATTGTCCTAAATTATATTAGTAGGTTAGCATTAGGGTGTATTCATCAATCATAAAAATTTATTATAAAATTATTTCGCCTCACCGCCGCTAAACCACACACACAGTATTTTTTTTTACCGCTTAAGTATACATATACAGTCCATTGCAATTACCCATGTAAGGGCAATCTAGCTTTCCCGCTATTACCGCCAGCATGTTGTTATGGCTCCCCCGCATTTTCTTTTTATAGAACAGGGGGCACACGGGCAGGAGGCTCACCTGATATTAAGTGATACCGCCGCCCATGGACACTCTCAATGCCAGAGGGCTCGCGAGTGCGTTGCCGGCCTTTTAAGAATTGGTACGCTCTTTTCTTGAAGGACCCTAAGTCGAATTGGTTCGGAAATACATCAGTGGGCAGCTGGTTCCACAAAGTAGTGGTGCGCGGCAAAACTGCCTTGAAAAACGCTCAGTTGTGGAACGGCGGACGTCGAGGTGATACGGGTGGAATTTCGTATTCTGCCTCGACGTCCGATGATGAAACTCAGCTGCAGGTATTAATCCGAACTACTCTGAACAATCTCCATGGTAAATGCTGTAGAAGATGCAGAGTGACCCCACATCTCTACACAACGCCAAAGGATCAAGCCGCTCGGAGAGGGATTGGTCGTCATCGATTCGAACCGCTCTTCGTTGAAAATGCGCCTAACCAGTGATACAGCTCGTTTGCGCATCGTTGAGTAAAAATATTTCCCACCTTAACAACCAAACATGGTACACGCACTGCAAGCGAGCGAGCGAGGGAGCCCCATCAACATCCTGAACGCATTATTGAACTTAACACGAAGGGCAATGTATGATTTTTTTGTACGCTCTTGCTCGACTGCAGGCTACGAGAATTAAATCTTAAGAGTATTTTTACCTCTCGCGAACACCATGCAAGCTGCCGAATGACCATATTAGCTCTAATACACAGCGCCCTTCATTCCCGCTCAACGTCAGCATCATGCCCGAGGTAATTGACCTTATCTACCCTCTCTAAAAGTGTACCATCGAGATAGTGGAGGCATATTCTTTAGAACTACTCTGTAAGATTATGCACTTTCTTTTTGAAGTTATACCTCTTTAGGCGCGTTATGAAAAATTGATGAGAGTGAAATTTTACGATGCGCGCGCACCGTGACACAAAATTAACAGAATGAAGTTGCCCACGGAAGATGCTACGGCATTGGACATAATTTAAAAACAACATTCGAATAATAATATAATTTATGTTACACTTAAATTGTAATTAATTATTTGCATGCATTCAAAAATTATTTTTAATAATGCCAAAGAAATATAACTTCTTACGCGCGTACATAAGTACACGCACCCTTTTTTACCATTGTATTGATCAGCCGTCTCCGTAGCCGTATTTCCGCTATTTTCAAGAGAAGCCCACAGACCGAGCCGCTCAAAAACACCATGTCATTCATGTGTTTATATTATTGAAACAAATACCGTCTATGTAACAGCCAACATGCTGCTTGCTGAGCTCCTCGGTCAGTCCATTAATGTACAGATTTAACAAGGAGGGAAAACATAAAAAATTTCGGTGGAGCATTTTCCATTTCCCCCCTTTCATATCACCAATTTCATCAATAAATTGCAGTGTACATGATCAACGCCAGCGTTCTTTTTAAATAACAGGTTTTGGGTGAATACGGTCTTGACAGTTTCACTATGTATGACTCCCATTAGTCGAAGGAGTCGTACATAGCATTAATTCTCGCATGAGAACCTTAAGAGCACATCTAATATATAAAATTCTCGTGTCACATGTTATCATACACCTCCGAAACGGCTCGACCGATTCTTATGAATTTTTTTATTTATATTCAGTAAGTCTGAAAATCGACTACTATCTTCCCCTAAATGTTAAGGGTGGTCCCCCCCTAAATTTTTATTTTTTAGATAAAATTTTTAGTTTTTTTTTTAATGATACAGCATACAAAAATACATAAAACCCTTAATTTTAACCCCTCTACGATCAACCCCTATTTTTTATTTGTTAATTGAAGTTTATATAGAGATAAATTCACAGAAAAACCTAATAAGTTTTCATTCCGAAAACCGGGGTAGCATAGCAAAATGTTCCATGTTGGTGTACTAAAAAGGTAGTCTAAGTAAAATCACATTAGGGAGAAACGAAGGTCGCGGGAGCAGCTAGTGAAACTATAAATATGTTTTAATTATAGTTTCATCTGCTCTTACACCTTTCCATTTAATGGAAGAGCATACATTTGGTTACCAGACAGAATAATAAATAAACTGGAAGAGTTCTTTATAATCTTACATACTATGTACAAACCTACTATGACTATGATTGTGTTTTATTGCTTCACCAATGTTTGCAATCGCAATTGGTTTTTCTTCATTCTATATTAACTTGCAACATTTTTATATTAAGTTGCAATTAACAGTTAGTGGTAAATGAAAAATGCATTATTCAACAACCATTAAATATATAATTTTGTAAAAATTGATTACATCTGTATCATAAAAAAATAATTATTAATTTCATACATACCTAATGGAATATAAAAATAACTTTATACTTTTCACAATTTAGACATATTTTTCTTCACAATTTTATTTAAAATAACATGTGCTTCATCATAATATGGATTATAATGTTGTTTAACCTTTGGCCACCATTTTGCGATGTTCGGGTATCTAGCAGCTGGTTCAAAACCAGCCATTCCTATAACATTAAATATATTAACATAAGTTTAAACTTGCAAAGTTATTTCACATTTAGTTTAGTTTTTTTAGTTGTTTTACTTTACAATTATCAATACTTCATTCCACTTGTCTGTTTATAAATCACAGGTCAGCTGATCAAATATTAGTCTATTTCTTGCATGTTATGGCCCAATACTTACTTGGTTGCTCTAATTCAACTGCTGCAAAAAGATCTGCGACAGTAATACTGTCTCCTGTTACAAACTGATTCCGTCCTAGCCATAGAGTATCCAACTCTTCAAGAGCATTTATCATTCTCTTTTCATAGCTCTGAACTAGCTTGGGGTCTGGCTGTTTGCCTGTGTATATTGGGTTTAAGTACTAAAAAATGTAAAATTCATTAAGCCTAGAGTTAAAAAAGTATAAGTCTCGATATCATATAACAAGTAATAACCAGGAGGTCCTGACTCCTTTACTCAAAAGGTTTTTATTTTCCAGCATTAAATTTAAGGAATTCTTTTGAGGAAATAGAAGGCTGATAATTTTCTTAATAAAAATTAGGAATACATAGACCCAAGGACCCCTTGCCAGTGTGAGGTTAAAAGATAAGAATCCTAAACTCAAGAAAAAGTAAATAAAGAAATATAAAATTTGTACCTTAACCCTGAAAAACATGGCACAATGTAATCTTAATCCAATATGTTGCCATTCTAAGTATTCATCCACTCTCGCTTGGGCTTTGCTGTTTTCTGGATATAACATTCTTGGTATCACATTTTCACAAGCTAGGTACCTTATTATTGCCACACTGTAAACATTATAATATAGCTAATGTTGATATTACAAGTAGTGATCACTTAATTTATTATAGAAATCGTAAAGTAATTAGTATTATGAATAATTTTAGTTTTTGTAACCTTTCTGTTAGTATAAAGCCATTGTGATCAATAACAGGAACTTTTTTGAATCGATTTATATCTTGATATTCATCTGTGAAGTGCTGGCCTGAAACACATGTTGTTTGTATAGTTTAATTTATTAAACATATATTTTCGATACATTGAGTACACTGCAACTTGTTTTTAAACGTTACCTTGTCGCAGATCTAAACATTTTAGTTCAAAATTACACTTAGATGTTTTCAATAAAATATACAAAGCCCTAGATGGTTGTGACATAAGATCATAGTACAACTTTAATTTCATTATATTATATTTGTGTTTAAAGTTTAAACTTTAATGTTTTGCTTTTTTTTACTTATAATATTATACAACTTTTTAAATTAAGAACACAGCTTAGAAACTTTACAACTAGTTTATCAGTAACCGCGGTAAACTAGTAAACCAAAGAATATGGTGATATAAGATATTTATATTTTATTCTCTATTGCTGTAAAAACGAGATATATCATATAAGTTCAAAGTTTAAACTATGCTTCATGCTTGTCGTGTTTCAAATTACGTATAGTCCGGGAGGTGGCGTCGGCGACAGTAGCGTTGCAAACATAAAAGTCATAGTCATAAGTCAGCTGTCATTCCTCAGCCGGCTGATAATTGATATTGACATCGATAGTTGTAATAACTAATAAGCGATTAGCGAACCGACCGTCAGCTGCCCAAGTAGCGGTGGGTTGTGACTTGTGGTTGTGGGAAGTTGCAAAAGTCGTAAAAAAATAATAAATAAACAAACTATTGTTTATTTATTAATTTGATCTTGCGTACCAACGCAAGAACTGTTTTCATAAATTGTTAACATGATACTGAGCTGGAAAAATTTATTCTAATTTTAAATATAGCCATTCGTTCTCACTCAACGTCAGCATCGTCTCTAAAGTAGAGGTAACAAAAACCGTGAAAATGAAGCAATATTTAAATTGAAATGGCATTGCAACAAACAACAGAATTTGATAAATGACTTTACGACCACTAATTTAATTTGGAGATCGGTCTTTAGATATAAATCAATCCAAGATTGTTCATTATCTTAGATTGAGGATACATTATTAATTTTGGCCGTAAGCATATTATGATTGTAGATTAGGTGTCTCATTCACCCAAACACATGTCATAGACCATACGCTCCAAGCGTATAGAATAGCGACCAATCTTTACCCTACACGATTTCTATGGTTTAAATCTTGTTCTTAGCTACGTCTTCTTCATTTAAAGGTTATAATGGTCTAGCGCTGAGTGGCGCGGGCGCTTGCTTCATCGATAAAGTATGTCCACAGAACATTTAGATTGATTACCGTTGTATGTCGCTAAGCACGGACTCTAAGTAATTGACATATGAGAAATGACAATTGAGTTTTAATTAGTGATGTACAGATCCGAACTGAATTTGGGGTATAGTCGAGTTCACTGCGCAACCTAAAAAAACTTGACAAAATGACCTTACCCTATCACCAATTTCGAGATAAAAATTTACTTACAAAGATAATAAATAAGGAAAAATTTACTAACCTAACAACAATTTCGAGATAAAAATTTATTTACAAAGATTGATGGTTTATACAGTGTTAATTAAGGTACGAGCATAATCTAATCTAAATTAATTTATTCACAAAGGTATGTTCATGTATTAATATCAAAAAAAGGTTCTAAATACATATACTACGTTTCTGAAAGGCTTGGAGTCGGCGATAGAGAGAGAGAGAGAAGAGTCAGTTTCTCAGTTTGACAAGAAACTCTTAGCTTATCAATTTATTAGCCAAGTTTTTGGATTAAAAGAATATTGGAAGAAACTGCAACTATTAATCCAAATTCCACTTGACATCAGCAGGTGCTGAGATGCTAAGGTTTCAATAAATAGTCGATCAGGCGTAAAACACACACAATACGATGCATGAACAGCAACAATGACAGTTTAGTGTGTATAAGAAAAAAAAATATTTATAACATGAATTATGGCATTCACTTTACATCAACATACCTACTGTCTAGTCTAATACCTTATATCTTAGATTTAAATGTCATCGGAAACTGTTGTTGATAGAAATCTCTCTCAAATACGTGTATTTTTGTAAATTGTGAAAGATTTAATTTAAGAATGACACATAACACAGAACTTAACTTTTCTTTAAGTGTTTACAGGCTTGGTACGTCATAGGGTCTGGTGCAATAACATCTTGCCCAGAGTAGCGTTTTGGTGGGTTCTTGAAAATATTAGATACTTAACAGAATCTAAAATGATTTCGACATTTACATAATTGTCAACTAATTTACGGTTAATGTAACTTTAAAATTTATATAATGATTGATAATGTTTAAATTTTCCTTAAAGTTTGTTGTAAAAGCAAATAGATACAGTTTCCATAGAAGGAATAATAATAATGTTAATTTATCTTCTGAAGCCTCGTTGGTCATAATCTTTTCTGTACCTACATATAATAAAGGTTTAAATAAATATAAATATGTATGTACAAGTTAATCTCATTATGATTAGTTCCTTAAAGTAATAGAAATCGACTCGAGAGTCATGAGTGAAGAAAACAATAAATTCTTCCAATAGCCCGCATAAATATGGATTGAACACCCGCAGCAATACCCTAGACTTTACCCTGTAACAATAACTATGCTAGAGAATTTTAACCGAGCAGTAAATGTTCGAATTTTTCATCATTGCATACGCTCATTGAAGAGCTCAAATTCAAATGGCTCTATGTGTAAACAATCTATAACAAAAGTATAACAAAAGTAACAGTTTTGACCGAAAAGAATACTTCATTTTCTTTAATTATAGCGCATCATGAACGTCAAAGCGTCATTACACCACAAATTATAAATCTAATTACTTTTCTGTTTCATTCAAATATAATATTATAGTATATAATAATAATATATCATTACAAACAAACTATATATTATAACTAATTGTAATGTACCTACAGCCTACATATTAAGTGTGTTCAAAGTTCAAACCATTTATTTTTAATTCATCGCTCAGATCGCTCGAATCTGTATGGATTCGATCAACCTGAAAGTCAGTTTTGACTTTTGATCATCACATCACTATACGAAATTTATATCAATTGTTGTTGTCACTTGTATATACATTATACTGTCAAATTTGAATTCTAATTCACAAATTAGAATTACTGTATTCTTATTTCTTATTGTTAATTAATATTACCATTATTGCTCTTGATTTGGCCTATGTATGAATCTTGTGAAGAAAGGATGGTGCCAATGGAACTTTTAACTCCGCATTTGTCCACAATAAAAATACCAACATCCCAACAATTAGTATATAAAGATGAATGTGTTCTTTCGTTCGACAACCCGGTGAGTTGCATTTTGTTTCTAACCTCCTTAGTTTTAGTTTTAAAAACAAATTATATGTATTATTATATCCAAATACATGAGTAACTGCCGAGACATACTATTTTAAGAATTAGATAAGCCAAAGCAAACTACAATTGTGTTAACATGAAAAATACATCTTTATTTCCTATAAATATTCCTACTACATTAAATTTGTACCGTAAGTTATGTTTTTGTTACGCCGGAACTATGATGTTATCATTAAAATGTTTAGTGTTCATAAAATTTTTCACTGCTTGATATAAATTTGCAACTGTATTAAATAAAGAAGTCCTGGTACCTTGCATTGAAAATGAACATAATATCAATGACAAAAATGTATCAAACATCACTGGTGACCAAAAAAGCACATTATACAGTATATCTTGAGTCACATATTTTTTTACTGCACCTTTCTTTACATTCATTGTATGTATTTTGGTCAAAATTACTAAAGATATAGTAATTGGTACAAAAAAGCATATAAAAGATATTATTACCATGTATAGAAGAATATTCTTATTATTAATGATACAAATTCTCATGCACTCATCAGATTTTGGAGTTCTTGCTGATTTAGTTTGTGCATAGTAAAAATCTGAGTTATTATTGTAGTTGTTTAATATGTTAAACACATTAGTTAATACTACATCTATTTCATGTGTTGTATTTTTGTTAAACTCTAGATCCAGCGCCTGTGAAATATTTGGCCTTAGAATATATTTATGAATAGGTAGAGTATAGTTTGATTCACAGTCCCCATTTGTTAGGTCCAATAATGCAATACAGTTATCATGAAGGTTTCTCATTTTATTCAGAGATACTTCATGAGCATTCATTGGGTATAACATTAATGCTGTCACTATAGGCAGGATCCATTGTAAAAATATTGTTATGTAGGTATAATTAGATTTCACAAATGTTATAACTGGATTTAAATTTGTGTTTTGACTTCTTGAATCTTCTCTTAAATCCTGAACACCATCTCTATTTTTTTCTTCTTTTAAGTTTTGATAGTGCATATAGTTATCGATTACAAGGCTCAAAAAACTATTCACCAGAGATGTAACCAAAGGTCCATAACCAAGTAATAAAGCCGAGAATCCACATGGGATTTTTTCAGTATGTGATGGCTTCAGCATTCTTGTATCAAATTCTTCCATATTCAAATTTGCTGGTTCCAGAGAATAGACTGCCCGACATAAAAATGCCAATCCAATACAGATAAGAATAATATTTTGTGATAGTAACACATGGTAAAATTTACCATTTCTTCTTAACACCCTTCTTAAATTCAATAATGCAATACCAACACCACTTAAAATTAGAACTATTCCTAGATATAAGTCAACAGATTGAAACATGTTGTTTATGTGACAGTTTGTTTAAATATGCCGACAGTAGCCCCCATAGTTTGCAAAGTTTCTTGCCAGTGATAGCTTATCAGTATGCAAATTATAGGGGCTTTTTTGAATCATCAAGTAACTTTTTCTACTTGAATATCTAACAGTTTTATGGTACTTGTATAGTAAAAGTTGTACTAAACTTGATTAAAACGGCCTAATTCAAGTGGCAAGAGTATATTAGGCCATTCAAATTTTTTAAATTGGAGTTTGTCTCATTGTACATGGCCCCTTAATAACAATACCCAATGGGGCAGACACAGTTTTGCATATATTATATTGATAATTTATATGCAATCAGTGCCAAATCAAGGCAGTTTTATCACTGTTTACCTTCACCATATGTGCAAGTGTTTTTTGCTCACATACAATGAAAATCCACCAATGTACACTCAAAGTTCAACTTATAGGTTTAAGAGTAACTTAACCACTGGCTAACATTGCTGAATTCTATTGTCTCTCTCTATTCTATTATAAGCTTGGCTCGGTTTTTGTTGTGCCGTTCGTTTGTGATCATGACCAGTAAATGTAAATGAGTAGTAATTACAAGTCAAGTCGTATTAATCCTTATTCAAATGAATAAGTTACTTATCACGTATTTCATTTTGGCCAAATTGCTTTTAAATTCAGTCTGACAACAACAGAATCGTAGGGTATTGTTATATTATATTTTCTCAAATTGTTTCAAATTTTATTTCTATTATTTCAGGAGTCTGAAACAGGACTTTACGTTTCACTGACATCTTTCCTTGGCTTTGGTCGTAATTATGTGGATCATTACTATCAGAAGACGAAAAATGCTGTGTTCCTACATATTACAAGAAGCAAAGTAAGTAACAACACAAACTGTCAATTTGTATAACAATCAACTTCTTAATATGCTATATACTAAAATAATAATAAAATAATGGGGCTTCAAATTTATCTGCCTCTTCTTCTTTTGATGCAATCTTTCCACCTCTCGGCTGCTGGCCCTTATATAATTTATACATACATAGTTTTACTGTCTATATATAAGAAGACATAATTTAAAACAACTACCGCACATCTATTAACTGTCAATTTGTGTTGTTATTTTAATATACCTCAGCTGGAGGTTTTGGATTTGTTCTCAAACGATATTTATTTGGGCAAAGACTGCTTACTGCTTTTGTTCAATTTAAAATGTGTAGTTACTCGATTTTTTTTGTTACTAAGGTAACTAATACATTATGTATCCTCGTATAAAAAGAGGCACGCACTCGGCAACGGGACGTATTCAGATTTACTGTATTTTATCCCCCCCCCCCTCTTTTCAGCAAATAGCAAAGTTCTGAAAAATAATAGTACATAAACGTATTAATTTTTTGTAGCAATCCTCGTAAATGCATTTCGTTTTCAAACATAGACAATGTGTGGGTAATATATGTAAAAAAAGTAAATAATTACTGTTGACGTAATCACCAAATAAGAAAATCAAAGACCTCCCCTCCCCCTCGCCCCTATAGTATACTTGAACGGCGCCAACTCCGAAAACTGGGTTGACACCAACTAAGAAGGCTCATCATTTTTCTGGACACCCTTAGATACCAAAACGACTGCCTCAAAGAGACCTCGGGGCAGTTCTACCGTGACTACGAGATACACAAATGAATATTTCCACAACTTTACAGGCTCTAGCAGCTCACGAGGATGCAGAGGAAACAGGCGATGGACCTGAGAAGAAAATTACTCGACTCGCGATTGGTGTTGAAGGCGGCTTTGACCCCGAATATGGAAAACGGAAGTACATATACACAGACCACTATAATGTGGTGGTGTTACCTGACTACCACGTGTTCCCGTGGCCTAATGATGCATTACCTGAAGTGGTAAGTCGGAAGGCTACGTTTGATTTAGTATAAAAACTTTTAATAACTTTTTGTATGTTGGAGTCGGGGATTTGTTGTGTTTCCCCAAGGGAATCGGTACGGAATAAGTTTAAGGAATTTAATATTTTGACACTATCTGGTCAATATATTATTGAAGCCTTGTTTTATGTACAAAAAAATATAAAGTAGTACAATGCTCAAAACAGAACAAATCTAAGCGTACGACCAACCTATTATAACAAATTCCCAAGCGAAATTATAAAATTATCACTGAATAAATTCAAAACTATTTACGTTAATTTGTATGACCCAAAACTTGGCGATTAAAAAGAGAGGCGGAGAGTTTCTTACCAGTTCTTTTTGCCGGTCGATGAATTTAGAATCAATTTAATATCTTTTCTGTTGACGTTGGTTTACGTTGGTTACCTAAAAATTTTGAGAAAGGTAAAAAATAATTACATTTTATTCATGTCCAAAGACTAAGATTAAACTGTAATGGTACTTACAGGGCTATTACTTGGGTAGTAAAATGCACATAATCAATAATTTTTCAAGCAATAGTTATCAAAAATCCCATTGATTGGTTATAAGAATTCCAATTCAGACCTAAGTACTCAATAGGTGTTTTATATATATAATATGTATGCAACTGTAATAGTATTCTACTTTTTTAATTAATTAAATTAACTATGTGACTTACTTGAAAATTAATCTATGTGCGGACGACATAATATACTAAACATAATCTTCAGGTCAAGATGTCGGTTCAAGGAATCATAGATGCGCAATCTCCCTTTAAAATAGCCGAAATGGCTGCATTGCAAGGCACTTGGGATGGAGAGAAAAGAGAGGTTTCCGTGTAAGTAAATTTCTTAACGTTTCTAGACAGACATAAGACATAACATTTATTGCAAAAAAAAACAAACACATAATCAAAAAAAAAAAAAAGAGAGATCAAAAAAATTTTTTAAATTTAAAAAGAATCCCTTTTCCCATTCGGTTCGTTTCGAGTGTGTAATGCGTGTGTGCCTTGGCTCAGTATAATGCTGAGGAGCAGAATGTTCCACAGCGCTGGTCATTCTGCCAGAGACCACAGCAGCTAGTTTGCGCCTCAGTCGTAAAAAAAGAAACAAAAGTGATTTAAAAAATACTTAGTAGAAAAAAAAAGTTACCAGTGTACGAAGAATCAATACGACTGTGAATTAAATGTGATGGAATTGTTGACTTAATTTGTTTTAAAATGTCTATGACGTAATCCTTTTATATAGAGTACACCCGCAAAGGCCGGCAACGCACCCATTAAAACATGAGTCAAGTTAAAAATCTTTTTCTATATATACATTTATATTATATTCATAATTCGACCAGTGCTTAGCCAATAGCCAACCATTTCATTTAATTTTTCAATTTCAGACACTCAGTCAACCTCAAACAGCTAGACAACGGTGTGAAGATACCACCGTCGGGTTGGAAGTGTGAAAAATGTGACCTCACTACCAATTTGTGGCTAAATCTAACAGATGGATCTATTCTGTGTGGCCGAAGATTCTTTGATGGTTCCGGCGGAAATGACCACGCAGTGAGTTTTAACGCTAAGGGAGCTTTCAAGTATAGTGTACACTCTTTATAACAAATTTCAAGGGACGGAGCATTTTTATCGTTATAGAGAGATTATTTTTTATTCGGACGTAGAAAAAAAAACCTATTACATTTATGTATATATAATAGGTGATATTGGCACACGTGTTAATACAATTAACAATAACAAAGGCAGAAAGACTGTTCATGACCATCAGATGTCTAAATATGAAAATATTTATTCGTAATAAAGAATGTTTGTTTGTTATAAAGAGTGAAGGGGGTGAAAGGGTTTTGTGTTAAACCAAACAAATTTAACTCATTTTTACGTTTTTCGTTATAACGAGTTTACACTGTATTACGTAACAAATTTAAAAAATAATGAGGGGGCTTGTAAAGCGTTACGGCGCGTTACAGGGGTAAGGGTGACTTTTAGGTAACGCTCCATAATCAATAGAGGGTTGAGACTCAAAGCCTATTTTCTATTAATTAATTTGTCAAACAATTTTGTAAAATTGAATTTCTTTGGCATCACAGTTGGGCACTCTAGATTTAAATGGGGTGTCAATTTTTTTTTATTAAGTTCTACTACTAAATCTGACTGAATAAAAAACTGTTCAGGCTTTTTAGTCTTATAGGTTTGTTTCTTGAAATAATAAAAATTGGATATATGAAAACACTTTGTTTTAATGTTGTCCGCGTGGATCTATTATTTTTTAATTATACGCGAGTACACTCGCACACTCATTAATTTATCAAACTGTCAAATATCACAGAGCATAGAGATTGCACAATTCACAGACTATAACAAACATAAATTAAAATTAAACACAATTCCTTGTACTTGTTAGTGATTTCCTTATAAATATTGAGTGCTTATAATCGATCAGGTGGAGCATTACCGAAAGACCGGCTACCCTCTAGCGGTGAAATTGGGAACTATAACAATAGATGGCAAGGGAGATGTGTTTTCATACGCTGAAGACGATATGGTGGAAGACCCGTACTTGGCTGATCATTTGAAGCACTTCGGTATTAATGTACAACAATTGCAGAAGGTATGTTTGAATAAATTTAAACCATAGTCGTCATATCGTCATAGACGTAGAATAGTGACGGATCTGACAAATAGTAAACTTTACTGGGCAGCCATTTCAAAATAATATAATCATGTTAGTTTTTGTCATAACTATTTTAATTCATATTCTGTTATTATGAAAATTGGCATACAAGCTAACAAAAGGGTTTGTTTTAAAACAAAATATAAATAATAACATTAAATTACACAGTTTTCTATAAAAATCACATGTTTCTATGAGCGTACCTATCAAATCCGTCACTTCTGAAACTGATTAATTTGAAATTTAAAACACATGGATTTTTATTAAGGTAGCCGTAATATTTAGACAATGTAGTATCCAAATATGATAAAAAGTGTATTTTGGATTTTTTCAAATCCGACATTGTTCTACGATCATGACGATATTTGATACGCCCGTGTACTGGTGTGTTCTTCTAACCTAAAGTGAAGATCCTCGACCAGTATTTGAATTTAAAAAAAAATTGTGATAAAAAATATTGTGAAAATTGAGATTTAAATTGATATTTTTTTTTTTTTTAAATACTAAACAACTCTTAAATACAAAATGGTTCACTTTAGCAACATAACACGTCAACATTTAAATATTTACGTTCTCTGTTCAGACTGAGAAATCAATGGTGGAATTGGAATTAGAATTGAACCAGAAAACCGGTGAATGGAATACGCTTCAAGAGAGTGGGAGTGAACTGCAACCTTTGAACGGGCCAGCTCTAACTGGATTGAACAACCTGGGAAATTCGTGTTATATCAACTGTGTGATGCAGGTGAGTGAACTTTAGCTTAGAAACGTACCGTTTTACGAACAATTTATGTATTATTTTTTTTTAATTTACGATTTTTTAAATTTCTAGGTGTACACAGAAAAACTTCTTATAAAAATCGCAGCTATTATTTTAAGTCGACTTAGGATCCTTCGGGAAAAGGAAAAATTTATTAAAGGGCCGGCAACGCATTTGCGAGCCCTTTGTTGTTGAGAGTGTCCATGGGCTGAGGTGACGCCCCTGCCTGTTACCCTCTGTTCTATAAAAAAATTGGTTAAGGTAAAATCTCGGCCGTACTGGTATCCGAATCGAAAAAAAACAGTATAAGGGCAAAACAAAAATCGACATGTGCTAGGCGTATGCCCCTATTACAAAACGTAAATTTTGACATATTTGACAGCTCTCAAGACGAGATTGTGACTTAGAATATGGACCATAGACTGTATACTAGAAAAAAACATCTTCTGCTATGTAACGCTGGATTATTATTAAATTCCAGGTTTTATTCCGGATGCCAGATTTCGTCCAACATTTCGTAGATGGCGTTGGGGAAATTTTCTCAAATCTCCCCGAAGATCCAGTCAACGACTTCAATGTACAGACGTTAGTTATTTTTCATGTTTTATTAAAACCTGTCATTGTCTTAACGTCAAAGTTAAAAATTTTGACAATTTACAAAACATACCATCATTTAAAACTCTAAATAATGCATACATTTTTTAAATATTTTAGAAATATAGATTATGTTATGAAATATATATTTTAATACTTATATTATAAAGATATGATTGGAAACTAATGAGTCTACTTTAATTAAAGATGACCTGTTCACGATTTTAGGTCATTTTAATCAAAACGATTTTGATACGAATAAGTTTAGACATAGACATAGCATTTATTAGTAACGAAACACACACAGAAACACAAAAAATATAATAATAGCCAAAAAAGAAAAATAACAAAAGATGATGGAAAGAAAAAAAAAAGAAATAAGGTACATTTTAAGTTTGTAATATGTGTGTGTTGTAACTGGCACTGACTCAGCATTGCTGTAGAGCAGACGAGTTCCACAGCGCTGGTTATTCTTCCAGAGACCACAACACGAGTTTACGAGTAATTATGAACAAACATACACGTCACACTCGCCTAATAGATAAATATTTTTCAATTCCAAAGTCAGTAAAATTTTGATGATTCGTAATTTCTAGGGCAAAAGTTGGCGTAGGCCTGATATCAGGTCGGTATTCCTTTCCCGGTGATGATAGCGGGTTCCAGCCAGGAATATCACTCCATATGTTCCGACAGCTTATTGGCAAAGGTCATCCCGAGTTTATGACCAAGAGGCAACAAGATGCACATGAGTTCTACCTACATTTCCTTACTCTATTGGAGGTAAGACCACAAACAATTATTATTTCGACGTTGCAGAACAATTTTTTTTTTTTTTTAACTCTCATTGTCTGCTTCCTTTAAGTCTATAATTTACGTAATGAAAAGAAACGGATCAGTGTTTTGATTGAACTGATTTGTTTTTAATTAAATTAATATTTAGATTAATTGTAGCTTAACAATTTTTAAATAAATGTATTAAAATTACTGCGATGTGGTGACATTAGAAATCGATTTTTAAAAATTTATTGTGTATACGTCAACGTCATTTATTAATTAAACTTGACGTTTCGAGAGTTCCTAAGCAATCACAGACTACCACGTCATAGATTCTTTTTAATTTGTTGCTTTGGCTACAAGTCGATTGGGCAAAATCTTTGATATAATTACTAATAATAAAACTTTGATTAATAACTAAATTTTAAACTGCTTAGCAAATTGAACCTTACTAAGTTAAATTAAATTAATGTATACATAACCTTTATTATATGTCACACGGACACACGGCTTATATATTGATTTTGATAATTTTATTAATATTAAATCTATAGAAATATTGCTACTGAATTTTTCAGCATTAAAATAACTATTTACAGCGCAACAGCAGGCACAAACCAAACCCCTCCGACTGTCTCAAGTTAGTTGTCGAGGAACGTATACAATGTACGGAGTCCCTCAACGTGAAGTACGTTCGAAGACCGGAACATTATTTGCCTTTGCCCGTTCCAGTCGCGGCGGCCACTAATGCCACTCAAGTAAGAGAATACGAGGCAAGACGGGTGGAGGCAGAAGCTAGCGGACAGAGATTGTAAGCAAACTTAGCATTTTTCTTAATTTTTATTAACATATGTACTACAAAAAATTCTTTAATCTTTGTCTACTATATGGATAAGTTAATATTAAAATTACCAATATATTTAATATTATATTCAAATTCGTATTCGAGCACTGTCAAATATGTCAAACGTCATACAGAAAAAAAATTGACAGCTCTTTTAACAAGATTTAAGTTGTTTTTGGAGGGGCCTCATAGCCTAGCGGTCTTATTAAGTGGCAGCTAGGTGAGGGGTACCGAGTTCGATTCCCGGTTCGAGGGCAAGTTTTAATTTAATTTAAATATGTTCTCGGGTACCGGGCGAGTGCTTAAACCGTACATGGAGGACACGGTCGAATTTCTAAAGACAAGCACGAATTATAAAAAATTCTATACTTGACGCAGGCTAATGCACAAATCGTGCCAGAGCCATTTAAAAAAATAAGTTGTTTTTGACGTTCTAGAATAGGGTAGCTTATTTGAAACTCTGATAAATATTATCAAATAATTCCATGTGTCCATTGGTAACTAAATTTACATATTACTAGAATTTCAATTCAAAACTATATACTTTATTGTTGTAGCTCAATCACACAATCATTTATTTAAATTTCTAAACATATAAACCAAATTCAGTAACAAATCCAACGGTCGCCTTATCGCTTATTAGCAATTTTGGGTTTAAAGTCAGCTAAAAGTAACGTAAGCGTATACGTGCACGTATTAAGTAAGTATACGTAGCTATACAGATATCCTGTTTGAATGCGTTTGTGACCTTTTATACGCGCAATATAATCTTAATATATATAAATTACGTGTCACGTTGTTTGTCCGCGATGAACTCCTAAACTACCGAACCGATATCAATCAAATTTGCACACCGTGTGTAGTTTGATCCAACTTAAAAGATAGGATAGCTTACATCTCAATTTATACCCGCAATATTATTTTATTGCAAAATATTTGTTTATTATTTGATAATCACAATTCTAACAGATGGCGCTGTGTTGAAAGTACCAACGTTTCACATATGCTACAATTTAGTGGCATAACCACAAAAAAAGCATGGTGGTCCCCATGACTGGTGTTCTCCTACCGTTTCCCTTGAATAGTTTACTACTATGTATAACAAAAACCTTAGCCACAGCAACGCTTGGCCGGTCTGCTAGTAATTATATTAAATAAATAAATCAATGGCACAACAACCTATTTAGGTCTGGGCCTCAGATTTCTGTATCCGTTTCATGATCATTGGTGCACAGCCGGCGAGATCGAACCTATGATTAGGGTACCTACCTACCTGCATGAGAGTCTCGCTGAAGCCACTAGGCCAACATTCTTTTAGATTTTATATCAGTGATATTTAGTATATAAGTTTTAAAACTGTTGACGTCCACCACACTATTCTTCTTTTTTCTGATTGTCTACAATAAATTAAAGAGAGAGATAGTCGTATGGAATTTGGAAGTATATGTCATGGGTCTGTATCGGAGAATCTAAAGCCGAACGTACACCGCCGGCTAAACTAAGTTAGTTTAGCTTAGCTCACATAGTTGAGCCAGTTTTTCATACATGTGCGTCCATCGCAAACTATGCCAGCTAAGCTACGTGAAATGCCCCAGCTAAGTGGAACTAACTTAGTAAACTAAGCGCCTCTCACCCCCTTGCCTTACCCCTCTGACGCCTGTCGACAGTGTTGTGACAGTAGTCAGTAACTCATCAAACTATTATAGATACACGATAGAACATCTTAAAATTTTCGTCGTCTAGTTCATTAAACAAAGTGTTAAATTCGCTACTTGTTTTCCAGGACTGAATGTGTTGACTTATCCTGTTTCCGTTTTTTTTTCATAAAATAAGCAATAATCAATGTTCTTTTCCTATGACGATAGACCTCCTCTTACCTCTAAAGTCTCGTCATTACTTGTGTCGTCTTCTACCTCGACGTTCTAGCACAAACTGGCCATCACTAACGTAGTTTTAGCTTATTTATTGGTGGACGGACAACGTAATTCTAGTTTAGCTTAGCTTAGTTCACTAGGTTTAGTTTTCATCTAGTTTAGACGGCGGTGGACGTTCCGCTTAAAGGACTTCGAAAAAATTTGAGATGTATGAGGGAATTTCCAGAAAATTTATCAGAGAAATTCGTAACTATAAAGAGTGATTTTTAGGATTGGCCTAATCCACAATTCCTTCGATCTGACAACCTTTAACGTGTACGAATAAACTATTTCAGAGACCCATCACAAACAGTCCGTCCGAACATCCCGTTCAAGGCTTGCCTCGACAGCTTCATGAGGGAAGAGTCCATTGATCAATTCTTCAGTTCCGCTGTTAATAAGAAGGTCACAGCTAAGAAGTAAGTCAAGTTATCAGGCAAACAGAAACATAAATTAGTTTAAATAATAATTTATTTATCCTTATTTTATTTACGTACAAGAGAAGAGCGTACCAATTCTTAAAAGGCCGGCAGCGCACTTGCAATGCCTTCTGGCGGTGTGAGTTTCCATGGGCAGTATCACTTAACATAAGATGAGCCTCCTGCCTGTTTGCCTTCTGTTAAAAAACATACATTATACAAAAATAAATCTATATAATTTTAAGATTAAAACTGCAGAGTTGTGTAGGTTATTTTGTATCTTTATTTTCTATCGGCATCATACGTGCCGAAATTCTTTGTTTTTTTTAAATTGGTATTGCTTGCACGGGTTTTATCACAAAGATACCTCAATATCACACACGCACTGAATCTTCTGACTTCCTATTTACACGGAAGAACTCAGAAGGTTGAAGTGAATGGTAAGAGGTCCTCTGGGTCGGCAGTAGATATGGGGGTACCACAGGGCTCAATTCTTGGCCCTTTCCTCTTTCTTGTTTATATAAATGATCTACCTTTCATGGTAGAGAGAAAACATCAGATAGTTTTGTTTGCTGATGACACGTCCTTGATTTTTAAAATCAAACGACAAATAACAAATTTTGACGATGTGAACAATGCTCTGTCTTCGATTGTCCATTGGTTTAGTATGAATAACCTTCTACTTAATGCAAAAAAGACAAAATGCATTAAATTTTGTGCAAAAAATGCAAGGGTTATAGATACTAGTCCAATTATAAACGGTGAGGAATTGAATCTGGATGATACAACTGTATTTCTCGGAATCACCATGGATTCAAAACTTCAGTGGTCCTCTCATATTAACGGATTGGCGAAGAGACTTAGTTCTGCAGCCTACGCGGTTAAAAAAATTCGCTCACTAACTGATGTCGCTACAGCTAGACTTGTTTATTTTAGTTACTTTCATAGCTTAATGACTTATGGCTTATTATTATGGGGTCATGCTGCTGATGTCGAAACTATTTTCATCCTGCAGAAGAGGGCTATTCGTGCAATCTATAATTTAAAATGTAGGGAATCTCTTAGAGATAAATTCAAGGAAATTAATATACTTACCTTTCCCTCGCAATATATTTATGAAAATATTATGTATGTATACAAAAATAGTGATAAGTTTACTAGAATAGAACATACGCACAATGTTAATACACGGAACAAACGCAGGCTGCAATTTCCCCGTACTAGACTATCTAAAGTTAGTAATTCTTTTTTGGGGAAAGGGATACTCTTCTTTAATAAAATCCCAGAGGCTCTTTTATCTCTGCCTTTTAATAAATTTAAGAAATGTATTAAAGAAAAGCTGTGTAAAAAGGCTTACTATAAAGTCAACGATTATCTAGTTGATAAAAGGGCCTGGGACTAGTGCTAGACAGGCTACTTCTAATTAATTTGCGATATTTGTTTTAAAATAAGTGTTGTTTGATGATTTGCTGTTTTAAAAGAGTACCGAGAGTTTTTTACGCCGGCTTTTTCTCTCGGCCTACACCCTCTGTCTTCTTTGCCGATGAGTAGGGATGCCTTCAAATTTAATGACGTGGAATAAGTGATACATGTATCTTATGTTCCATAATAAACATATTTTATTTTTTATTTTATCGCAAAATGAATAAAATAATTTTAAAAATATAACATAATATCTGGTGCAGCAAAAGCCGTCAGGCGAAAATATTAGATTATACGCAATAGCGTTCTAATAAGAATTGTTTTTTATGTAATAACTAAAAGTAGTCTGAATAAAAAATTTCTTTTTCTAATACAGTGTTTTCTTCTTTCCATTTAACGACAACTCTTTATAACGTCAAAATATGCGAGAGATAGAGTTTACACTGTATTTGATTGTCCTTATTTTAACATGTGTGTGTGAAAGCAAACAAAGTATTATTTAAAAAATATTTCCAGGATCACTCGTTTAGGGACATTCCCAGACTTTTTGTGGATTCAGCTGAAGAAATTCACTATCAAAGAAGACTGGACGCCCGCAAAGCTTGATGTAGAAGTTGATATGCCGTGGGAGGTAATTTATTTATTAAAGATTAATCTATATATAAATTAATTGCTGTTCGTTTGTCTCGCTAAAACTCGAGAATGGCTAGATCGATTTAGTACATTTAGATCTTGAAATATTTGTGGAAGTTCAGGGAAGGTTTAAATGGATAAAAATAATAAGTAAAGAAAAATACTAAAAACAATAGAATTTTCTATTTTGAGATTATTTGGCTTTTAGAAATAAAAAATTGTTACTTGGTTGTCATATATTTATAGATGCCTTGAAATTTGTGTTTCATATCCTTACTGTGAGGTCTTATCTCTTTGTTCTGTTATTAAAAAAATCATTAAGTTTTGGTACAAATTTAATTATGTTCTTGATACAAAGTTCACTAGTCATCTTGTATTATATGAAAGATACATGGTGCATGAATAATGCAAATTTTTGTATGCACTGGTTAGTGTAGTTCCTGATATTATAACCCTTTAATTGTAATATATTTATATTTCAAATATTTTTGATAGAATTTTTAAAAAACTAGGAGTTCAGGCACAGGATTTTAAACAGTACTTATCCAGAGCTTGATATATTCGGTAGAGGGCTGATCGATTTTAGAGAAAGCATTGTTAAGTGCCTATCTCGAACCTAGTCTGCTATTCATTTAGTTTTTTTTTTTATGTTACTAGTATTTTCATTTTATTTTATATTTAATATTTACTAAAGTTGTCATATATCTTAGAAATAATACCTTGTAACATACTGTAAATATAGTATTATGTGGTAAACTTCAATAAATATTAATAAATTAAAAAATGCAATACACTAGTAAAAACCAGTACACTTCCGCGGAAATTTAATAACGATACCACGAATATAAGCCATTGATTTTAAGTATAATAAAAAAGGATGTTTCCAAAAAGTTGACGTTAAATAGTTATCTAATAATTAGAAGTTTTGTTTCATCGAACAATTTTCTAATTAAATTAAATTACCTTAAATTTTAGATAATTACCTTGTTTATGTTTTTAGATAGACCTAAAGAGTTTGCGAGGTCATGGACCACAGCCCGATGAGACGCTTTTACCGGAATCAAGTCCAGACACTCCCGCGCCGGTCTACGATGAAGCTTTGCTGGCACAGTTAGTGAGTATTAAGAACTAGGTGAAGTGTTAAGTGCTATTTTTTTTCGTGGGACTCACTATTGTGGATACCCTCTGAAACCCCACGGTGCCACCAACCTAAATCTGCTTTCAAGAGATTTTTTGACAGTTCTCAAGTGGAGGTTTTTACTTGAGATACCAATTGGAATACGGACTTTAAAAAAGTTAGCCCTACTGGTCAAAGGAATTCAATTACTGTTCCTTAATATTATTTTCATTATTTCCTATTTTTACAGTAACTTAACAACATTGATTTTTTTTTTGTATTAGATGTATAAAATTATAATTGATATAAACATAAAAAGTAATTCTATGGAAATAAATATATGTATGTCACCGTAAAATTGTAAACACCGTTAGATTGTAAACTGTCGAAAGATTGTGAACCTCAACGTATTGCTTACAATTTAACGTATTATTATTTGGTAGATTGTAATCTATCGAAGTGAAACCGTCAAATTACAATCTTAAAATTGTTAACTGTCCGAAGGATGTCCCTGATTGGTCGGCTTTATATTAGACCGTTCTATGTCCATTAGGGTGGTCCTTATTCCTAAGAAAAAAATTTTTTTTCTTTAATGTCGCGGGGCACCACGTAATTTGGATATATACCATAAAAAAAGGGTTTCAGTATTTTTTTTGAAATTTTTAAATGATATTTAGAGGTCGCTACCAAGGTTTGAATTTTAAATAAAAATTGAAAATCTGTATTTGTTAGAATTCTTTATTTTTATACCCAGGTCTTAAAAATGTTACGAAACTATTGTTATTGTTATTAATTAAGATATTATATAGATATCTGATTTGTTTATTTTAAAGATATAAGGGTTGAATTGTTAGTATTAGGGTACTTTATCCTATACTCTTTTACCATCAAAAGCAAATATTGCTTTTGTTCTTCATTTGTGGTAATTATTTTTTTATATTCTTCCATTCCTCTCAGCTATGTCGTTCACTACTCGCAATGAATGAACGATATTTTTGGCAGCTATATAATCAGCGTTTTCGTTCCAGGTTTCGACGTCTTTTAAAAAAAAACACCATGAGAAATCTAGGGTCTGGAAGAATCTTAAGGAATGACTACTCACGAAGTTTTCTATTTTTTTTGTCGATATGTGCGATGCCAAGGTTTATTCGTTTTAAGCAATCTTCTGTGCCTTAAATTTTGAGTACTTCTACTATATTTTTCTTTTCTTGAACTAAAACTTCGTCATCGAAAAACGCAAGCGAAACTATGTCTTCTGACAAATTACAAATTATTTAAAATCTTTATCAGCGCATCAGTAGCTATATTTTTGTTGAAGACCTTAAGTCTATTAATAATTGTAAGTCGTTTCTTGGTGCTGACTGACTCTACAACTACTGAAAATACATATTTTTCTCACAGCTTTTTCGTCCTTCTTCGTTAGCTTAAACTGATGCTTAAATAAATACATTTTTAAACTGTACAAGGCTCTTGCCATCCACCTAGCTCGATGAAGACCAGCAGGTCTCTGAAATGAAACGCTTTTGTCAGGAACACCTCCTAAGGAAATGATAGTAAGATTCAACAGTTCTCTTTAGTCATCTCGAGGTTCATGTACTTGAAGTTGCTTTTATGCAAACGAAATCTTGTCTGCGGCCACTTCTGCAAGAATATTTGCCTCAGCGTCATCAGCTGTTATTGATTTGAAGTCGCTTTGGTCAATAGTGTTACAATTGTTCTTAAATCTTTTGAATTATTGTATATCAGGAGCACTAGATGGGGCAAGTGATCCACTACAGCTGACAACATAATTTCCATTATGTGGTGACAACAAGCAAACCAAAGCTTATTTTTATTCATATTGCGCTCCAGAAGGACGAATACTCCACGCCTTAAGCCGGTATTTACAGCAGTAGAGTCAAAACATTGTCTAACATTTTACTTTATAGCTCAAATTCCATGACTTTATAGCTTCATAGACAGCTGGACGGACAAGCCTCGCTTGTTCCACGTTCCAATTTTGGAACAGCGAGTAGTTGATAAACTCCATATCCTGATGTCAAAATTGGCAGCCGATCTTTAGTTTTGTGTCCAGTAATATCTTCTAGAAGTTTACCCTACCAATGGATTGTTAATGACGAATTAGGTTTAAACTCGCTTTTGAGCGAATCTGCACAGCTTTGCGATTTTGGACCCATTACCGACGCATAGTAGATCTATTGACATTAAATTCTGATGGACCACAGCCTGCACATTTCAAAGTAGATGTCACGACCATAGTTGCTTGTCTGTCACTCAATTTAGAGACATCAAGACTGGTATCTAATTGACTGTTAATAATATAAAAAATATTTTATTTGTAAAAATTTTGACAGCTGGTAGCGACCTCTAAATCTTAACAAAAAAAAACAAAAAAACACGTATTTCATATTTAGAGGTATATAATCAAATGAGAAAGTGCCCCTAAGATAATTCAAAAGTCGAAAAATAAGGACCACCCTAATGTCCATAGAGTTAGGAATGAAACACGGGTAAAAGTGTTTACAATTTTACGGTGACTTATCCGTCTCACATACAATAATATTCAGTGTGCGTAAGAGACGCGTAAATGGTGCTCCTCTGATTATATTTTTACTAACATTTAAATCTAGTACCGCCTGACGCATTAATAAAAGCCATTTTTTTTTAAATATTTTTCAGATTTTAATGTGTTCATTATTTTTAGTTGGACATGGGCTTCCCAATAGAGGCGTGTAAGAAGTCCCTCTACTTTACAAATAACTCCGGCATGGAGGCTGCGTCTAACTGGCTCATGGAACATATGACTGACTGGGACTTTGCAAACAAGTTTGAGCCGCCCGGATTTAAATCAGGTAATATGGCAATTAATAAAAAAAAGTGCGTTCGTACAAAGTACACATGTCAGAAGTGAAACTTCTTTGGCAAACTAATTTTTAAGCCTTATACAAATCTAAACCTTTAAATTTCCGAGACTTAGAGGGAAAAGGAAGATATGGGAGCGTTCTACTTGAACGCTCCCATATCTTCCTTTTTCCATTTTTCCTTCCTTACGTCACGCAATTTTTGGAAATTATTGAAACCCCCCCAAGTAACGCGCCGTAACGTTTTCTGTGCCCAAGTATAGTAAAACGTTTTTTGACCACCTAGTGACTCTTTATAGTTAAAAGTTACCATTATGTGGAGTAATGTACTGGAAAGTCGAAAATAATATCAACAATAACGCGTAATTCAATCCCCGTCCGGCATCGTAACGTTTTATAAAAGGACAACCCCCCCCAAATTCGTTACGTAATACTTGAACGCTCCCTATGTTAGGAATTTAATTGTCATTAAAATATTAAGTGTCGAAAATTAATACAAATACATTTATTTCTTCGATAATAAAAACACGTGGCATTTTAATTTACAATTCGTAATTTGAGAATTCAATAAATTATTTTGCATAAAATATATTTCATAAATTCTCTTTACGAAATTTTAAAAATATAATTTTAATGGTAATTGGTAATTCGCCCTTCTCACTCTCTCTCAATCGGTCTCAAATTTTTGAAAAACGTACGTAACGTTTTTTTTTGTATCGCACTCCGTTTTCGAGAGTCGAGACTGACGTACAATTATTTTGACACTTCCCATAGACAATGCGGTGACAGTGGACCCAGCGAGCGTGGAACAGATAATTGGCATGGGCTTCACAGCAGCCCAAGCGGCCAAAGCTCTCCAGGCCACGGAAGGGGACGTTGGCAGAGCCCTGGACTGGATCTTCAGCCGGGCAGAACAACTGGATGTTGACGAAGAAAGTGTCCCGAAAGACAATAATTTCGGATGCAGGGATGGTGAAGCGAGTAAGATCTTTTTTATAACTAATTTTGTTTTCAGGTCAGGCTAGATTGTAATATTCAATGATGTCTCAGTGAAGAGAATTAAAAAAAATTGTCTACTTTATTTTTTTACCAATACATATTAATGTTGGTGGTAGGTGATCCGCCTTCTGCGCCTGCACGGCGGCGTTTTGGTTCTGAGGCTCTGAGGAAAGCCGCTTTCTCACGATATTTACCAAGATGATGTCGAATAACGTAACAGAACATAAAAAAAGTAATTTAACATTGTAAAATGCTTTGGCAATTTAAAGAGTGACGGGTAGTTTATTGCCAGTTCTTTTCGTCCGCTCTGCGGCTCTTAAGAACTGGCAGTAAATTAATAATAAGTAAATTAAGTGACCTATATGAATTATTACGACTATTTCCGCACTGACTATATATATTCTATATCTTTAAGGGTACAAGCTGGTGGCGTTCATATCTCACATGGGCACATCGACAACGGTCGGCCATTACGTATGTCACATATTACGTCAAGACGCATGGGTCATATATAATGACAATAAGGCAAGTATCTTCAGTTTAACCGTTAAATTTACATAAAGGTGTTTAACTTTTTTATGTAGATTTATAAGAATTGATCTTTTATTTTATAGATTAATTATTTTCTATTCCTAAATTACTTTCCAGCCGATAATTTTATGTTTTTACCCGTTTCCCTGTTTTTGACCCTGGGCCACAATGCACAAACCGTGCGGGCCATAAAAAAAAAGTGTTTAAAGATTGGAATAGTTATATTGTAATAATGAAAGCAAGGCGTGATGTTATTTTGAAAAAAAAAAGTCTAAAGCAAGAAGTATCAATAAAATGTCTAATATAAGAACAATAGCAGACACACATAAAAAAAATATGGAATAATTAAATTATGGCACCATAGACACATATACAACTTCATTATTTAAACTACCCAGCAAAAGCTTCAGCGCATTCAAATTGAGGAAAGCGTTTTTATTATTAGCTCCTATTCATTAGCCATGTTCAATGATAACTTAGCTTTAAAGAAAAAAAATTTAAAATTCGGTTCAGTAATAATATTTAACACACTAACTTTCTACCTTAGGCTTTGAACCCGGGACTTCATGTAGGCAAATAAGATAGTTAATCTAGTAATAGTCGCGTTTTTAATAATGTTATTTTACTATAATAACCATTAACAATCTAAAAGCATATTTGAATAAATCAATCAAGTCACAATTATGCAAATAAATTCCGTTGATCTGTTGAGAACAGAAGAATATTTGTTTTTTAATTATATTTCTTTCACCAGGTGGAGTTGTCTCTGAATGCACCCAAAAATCTTGGATATCTTTATCTATACCAGCGTATTGAGCCTTAACTTCAGTGATACGACATGAGCAAATACCACATTTGAATATAACTTGAATGGGCAAAAATGTGAATTTATTTTCAAGAAGTGATTTATCTGTAGACAATCGCTTCGTCAAGTTAATTTAAATGTCGATTCAATTAACATAAAATTCAGTGTTGGGAACAAATGTAAAAATAAATTTTACTTGACGCTGCCAAAAAAATGTTTAACTTTTATAAGTCTACTTGCAGTGCTGCTATGATGCAAATCATACATGTAAAGCATTGTCTCTGGAACTGGATCTTTTTTGCAATAGCAAAAAAAAAAACTTTTTTACTATGTGTATAAGAAACCCCAGATGACTTATCCCAATTATAATGCATTTGTGTATTAAATAAAAATACTAATAAATTCTAATGTTTTTTTGCCTCTAACGGTATCACTGCATTGTGTTACACTATATTGTATAAACAAAATTTTATCCTTTGGTTAACTTGAAATAACAGGTCCAATAATCCAACATGGTCTAAATGTGAACCATCACAGTAATATAGTCCCATATTCATAAAAACTAAATCAGTATACTATTCCTTTTTAAATAAAGTACTCATGTGTCATTTTTAATCACACTGTGAAAGAGATCCGATAATTACTTGGTTGTGCTTTGACCAAAGTACTTATTAATATATTTATCAACTGTTTCTATCCATTTGCTCTGTTATTTGTATGTACTTTAGTATTTACTATGAGTTAAAAATATTTATTTTTGTATCTCTTACGCAAAAATATGCCACTAGTATGGATCTATATTTATTTAACAAAAGTTGGCTATAAAATTAAATTTGAAAAGTCTGATACTTATAGTTGTCACAAGTTTTGAGCTTTTAAATAATAATACTAACATGAATTGTATAACTGTATTTTATAGGTTTATTTATATAAAGTTGGCCTTTGTTAACTTCAGAATCTTATGTAAAAACAACAAATAAATTATTGTCTTAAATTAGATTTTTTTTTAAATTTATTTACCAACAAATAAGATTTGATATTGATAAAACTTTGAATTACTGTAAGTAATAATAAAGTGGGAATGCCCTTTATGGCTTAAATGTCTGTATGTAAGGATGATCACTTCTGTACTGAGACACATTGTTTATATTCTGATCTTTGACTTGCCAGTTTTCTTAATGATTTCATTTACCAAGCAAGTGTTTATTTATTTACACTTTATACAAAAACATACATATAAAAAAAGCAGGTTACATAAGTTATAAGGCAATGGGTGGCCTTATAGCTAACAAGCGATTTCTTCCAGGCAACCCTAATATGGAACAATAAAAAACATACACCTACAGAGGGTAAAGTTCAAGTGCATAAAGAATTAACAAAATAAAACGTAAAATCTAAAGAATTTTTTTTTTCAAACACTTTCTTTTAGGCTGTAAATGACACATTACATACATTTTCATATTTTCTGTATAATTTATTTCCTAATTAACTAAATATTTATTACATACGATAATTTCTATCCTTAACGCTTAAACCTGTCATTTTGGTTTGGAATTCTCTTCCAAAAAATGGTCTTCTCGTCATAGTAAGTATTAAATTTTTTATAACCATACCTCTTTTTGGGGTCTTTTTTGCAAAAAGATGGTGTAAGGTTAATCATAAGACCTGAAAAAATCAATATAAATCAGTAAATTATCATGTCTTCTGTTCACCTTACTGTAAGTGTTTAGTAACTAAGCTTTTCCATTTTGATTTTTCCTTATAAATAGGCCATCATACGGTCTGTATCAACCCTTGAAAAAAAATAAACCTCTACATGTTAGTAATGTTTTAAAACAAACCTGCTTTTTGAGCCATTGTAACCATTTTGCCAACTTTTTTCTGCTGCATACGACACAATCCAGTAATTCGACGCGGTAACATACATCCATCACTGCGAACGAACTGGCTTAGTATCAGAACATCTGTGTGTTTAACATCAAGATCTAATTTACACATGTAACACAAGGATTTTTCACTGTCTTTGGTCGGTAATAAATCTGGAATCTTCTCTGCTCTAACTAACAGTTCTGATCTCGGTGACGGCAAGCTTACACCTTCAATAATTAATTTATTTCCCTCTTTGTATTCACGTACTGCAAGAAATGATAAAGTATAAGGTTATGATTTACTACACAACTAAATAGGTTTTCATTTTTGCAACTTACGTTCTTTTATATTTAATTTACTAGTCACTGATAATGCTCGAATGTAGGGAGAAGTCACTGCATTTTTAAGAATAGAAAATGCTTTAGTTGATAGTAAAGACATTTTCAACAAGATAATAAAAAATACCAAGCAATATAAGCAGTGAATTGTACAAGATTAACAGATTCAAAATCTTAAATTAAAGTTTGAATTATGTTTACGGGCTGTCATACCGCTTATCGCATCTGTGGTTTATTATTGTAACTGACGTTTGACTAGAGTCCGCGCCACTAAGGTCCCGCGGCGAAAAATTTACTTAATTTGACAGATCGCCAACTTGTGGTTTCACCACCACACTTAGGGGGGAAAATATATGAATAGGGGGAAATGCAACGTACTCCCTATCTGTCATATGACTTGCCATAAACCGAATCAATAACGCGGTGAAACCAACTATAGATAACTTTCTTCGCATTTTATAGAAACACTTTTTTTGAGTTTATGTTCCTTTAATACAGTAAAGTACCTAGGTGCCATTTTGTACGATTACTTTTGCCGTTTTTCCCGTTTCTGTAGAGATATTGGCAATCCTTTATTGACGTTAAACTTTCAAAAAGAATTGTGTTGAAGTATGATCAAGTGAAAACCACCCATTTTTAATTCGACCAGTAGTTGCTAATATTAACTCGTTTTACTAAAGTAGCAAACTTTAGCTTTATTATATTAACTCTGGATAATTATGTCTATGCGGAATTCACGCTAGATTTGCTATAAATAAAAAACGATCATTCACATTCTTACAAGTTCGCTGATAAAAAAAAATTAAAATAGGGCTATTTTACATTATTAATTATTTCAAGCTAGTCTCTAAAGAATAAAGTATGGATCAAAGGTATTCAATCGATACGTAAAATAAAATAGAATCCTAATCCTAATATAATAGAAACTTGATAAAATTTAAGAAGAGCTCCATGGGTATATTAACTACATTATTATATAGCTAAAAGGAAGCACGATCATGTCAGCGCATATCAAAATGTTGCCAACATAATTCTCATCAATTACCTAACCAATTTTTATTTTCGATTAAAAGGTTTACTAGAAATTAAAATTTGGCTTCTCTAGTAGAGTGAGGGTGATAAATATAATTCTATCATGTATATTGTGGAGTGCAATAAATCAATAATTTAGAAATTACAATAGTTATGGTCACTTATCGGTTTACTTCTTGATATACTGCAGTCGCTATCTTCATTCCGTGAGGTTGTATGGAGGGCACCCACCTTACCCGATGATGTTTCCAACTTTGTTTGTTTTGGGTTTGGTAGTTAGAGGTATCACATATTATATTTGTTTAAGATCCTTAAAGGTGGTGTATGTATATAGGTATATGGTATATAATGGGGAAATGTTGAAGACTGGATCTGCAAATACCAAATAACCACACTCGGCGTGGTAAGCGATCGCAATCGCTAGCAGTTCCGCGAGCGCGTACAAATTTCCTTTGGAAAGCACCATTTACGCGCATCTTGCGCACCCTCATGCTGTAGGTACACCTCAGCTGAGAAACCGCTGCGCGAGAGTCGCTGTGCAACAGTACATCACTTAGCAGAACTATAAGCGTAACCTCCAGGACGGATCAGTAGAGAAAAAACAATCGAAAATATTGTCACTTTTGGAGTCGGAGGAGGAACTTATCTTATTTTAATGTTATTTAAAAAATATATACAATTCTTTAATCTTAGTTTTTTGTTTTCTTTTTGTAGTCAGGTTGATTAAGTAAATACAAATCTATTTTGACTGGTGGTATAAGTTTTTCGATAAATTCTGAGTCCATCTTTCCTGTATAAATTGTCGATTGCTACAGATGCGTCCGAGACAACTTCATAGTTAGTTTTGTACGTCAGGGCAGGTTAATTTCGATCCTGTTTCACCGCCAAATAACTTGCTACGCGTAGCGAAACTAATGCGGTTTCAAAGTTTGAGTTTCGCAGCGGAAGTGTGCTAACAGGATCAATACTATGCATGTGAGTCTGATCTATTGAACTCTGGCTGAATTCTTAATATTGCATTATTTATAAAAAGTTTTAGTTTTTATGTTTTCTTGTTTTGTTTATATGTAATTTGTATTTGTTCTTAGTTAAAATTTGTATTTGTAAGTTTTCTATCTTTCTTTTTTCTTATAAAATCTTTTTAATATAATGCAACAATCAAATCAACAATTTGGGCTTCCCTTGCCTGCGTTTCGTAAACGGTCACGTATGCAAACATCATGTAGGACAAAAATTTACGTCTTTAAAACTTCATTTTAATTTGAAGTAAATTTTTAAAAAGAATTTTAATAATGAAATATTTCTTATATTCGTTAATCCAGGTGTTTTTTTATAATTATTTATTTAATTTTTAACAAAATTCCCAGACATAATGTTAAATCCAATACCTTAGGAAATATATTTCATTTAAAAACTCCACTACGAACAGAATAATTACAAATAAAACTAAATTGGGGTGACAATGATTTATTCAACAACAAAGATCAATGAAATTTGCTTAACTTAGCTTAAATAATTTCCAATAAAATATATAATATATAAATTTAACATAAGATACATAATTGTATGCATAAATAGTAAGATATAGACGCATATAGGTAATATATAGTTTGCGAAATGTTTCAATATCAAAAATTAATTGTACACGATTAAAGCATGATACAGTAATTTAGCTCTTGGCTTATTTTTTCATATTTTGTAATTTTTATGTTATGACTATTGTGCAATTATCGGAAAGGCATCATTGGACGGCATTTCTTAAGCCAAGCAAATGGATAAAATGCATACAAATGCTTACAGATTCTTAAAACTAGCTTAAAATATGACTTGACAGCGTTTAATCGTCAATATGTTAGGCCAAAACTGAGTAACTAATGTTAAACACGTAAGAGATTAAATTAATTGAGACACAAAGGGAAATCTAACAAATTGCAACCTCATTTAAATTGTCTGAAGTATCTTTAACAGTTAATAAATTATTATAAAGGTTTTGTGCTTTGTAGGCTTTAGCAAGAACAATACGCAAAATAGTAATGCAAACTTCTACAGAATGTTCCCCCCTAGAACTTCAAATACTAGTTGTATTTTAGAGGGTTTTTATCGATATTAAAGAAAGATTTTGTTGTACACTCGGTTTGAGTAAAAATACATTTAAATAGTATAAAAAAAACTGTTTTTAATAGAAAATAGTTTATTGGTTGGGTTCGAGGCTTAATTTAAATTGCAAAGAATCGTTTGTTTAAAGAAATATTCTTAAAACCTAAATAAATGTACTCCTAAAAACCTCATCATCTCGATTCCCCTAAATTTGGTGTGAAAACCCTCAAGTTGGTATCACTAACGTAAAATCGAATAGCTATTGTGTATAAACTTCAAATTGTAAGATCGATTTTGAGCTGTCAAAAACTGACAGTATCGTATTGACGTAACGTTCGTGCTAGGGCCTCTGTGGTTTATATATAATCTGTGTATAATTATTTTTATTTACAATGCAGTCTGTCAGTTTCCCAAATGAATATAGCAAAGGAATACATGTAGATTACAAGTACAAGATTTACTTAGAGAATTGAGTCAGGCCTTTGCTAAGAAGTCCCGCTGCCGCGTCAGCGCCATCATTTGCTGTTGATGTCAAGTTTGAGACCAGCTGTAATAGGAAATGTAAAATTTATAGCTTAGCAAGGTTTTTGGTTTTGTAATGGTTGGTAATACCGACACATTGTCTATACTTGAAAACGAAATGTATTTCCGAGGATTCCTACAAAAAATTAGTACGTTTATGTACTATTATTTTTGAGTTTTGCTTTTGCTGACAAAAATAGGAGGGGGGGTTTAAATTGTAGTAAATCTGCTAAAATACTTGAACGGCCCCTTATACAAAACGCGGTTTAATATAAAGTAAGATTAAACAATCTTGAACATAACTATTTAATTAATGAAATAATATAAAGTAGCAGATTATAAGGAAATCATCCACAATTAGTTTCCCTATAGAACCTTTTTGTCTAGGAACAAATCCTCTTAAATTCCGTCATACATTTGATACTTACATTTTCACGTTTCTCATTGAGGTACTTGTCGGCATTCTTAATTTTCCCATCAACGACGTGGCCAGCATTCTTCAGGCCTTCATCAGCGGCTGCTTCCATACGTTTTAATGTGTTGTCGACAGTACTGTGAACAGCATTGCTTGCATCTGCTGCAGCCTTTTCTGCTGCTTTCTTGGATTCTTCTACTGCTGCATCTGGTTCAATGGTATTAGTATAATAATTGTCTCGTTTGAGTAGGAGTGCTAGTAGATGTAATATAAGGAATTAATTGATAACTTGTTTCTATATTATCTTCACACATTTCGACAACATTTAGGGCGATATAGGGGTATATGCCAGTTTGTCATAGACAAAAAATTTGTTTGACAGCGACTAGTTTGACGTTAGGTAAAGAGAAGTTTTATTTCGTTATTCGCTACAGATTAAACAAGTATGAAAGCAAACGTCCTGTGAATTAGGAATAGGTACAGATATAATAGAGCAAGGGGCACATGTTATAGTAATTTTATTTAACATATTGTAAAAAATGTAGTAAAACAAACACACCATATATGTCTAATTATATAACCAATGACCATTTCTAGAAAATCCAAGACAGCAACATTCATTGTTAGCACATAAAACTTACTAGCAGCACGTTTAGCCTCTTCCTTCGCAGCCTCCGCAGCCAACCTTGCCTTCTCTTTTGCATCCTCAGCAGCCTTCTTGGTTTGATCTACCGTCGTGTTAATGGTATCTATTGAACGTCACAAAATTTTAGCTACATGTAAAGCGACGATTATTTCATGCACCCAAATACACAAACACAATGTTAGAAATAAAACACAATCGGTATTTAATAAAACCATAGAGTTTTCACTCTTCTTTAATTCCTACACACTATAAGCGTACCTGGATACTTTTTTTAGGATTTTTGGAGACACAAATGCCACAACAAAATTCATACAAATCGGGTTAGACACTATAAAGCCAACAGCGACACCTGTGTTAATACATTTAAAATAAACCAAAACCTTACCATTGGAATCACCCGACACCACACTTGAGACCGTATCTATAAAGAGTTAGCATTAATTAGATCGCATGCAGAAGAATAATAAAATAAATAAAAGGAAAAGAAATGAAAACACTAAGTTTATCATTGTGCAAAGTGGGGAACAAAAACCTGATAACGATTTCAAAGAAATACCTTTTGCACCCGTAACGAGTGACGCACTCTTGTCGTAAACTGCGCTAGCTACATTCTTGGTAGTGTCTACTGTATTTTGGACTGTGCTTGATACTGAATCTATAAACAATTATTTGGTTTTTATTGAGCTCATAAAAAACGACGATTTAACGCAAATTGGATACCTTTTGCACTACCAACTAAAGAAGAGCCCTTTTCTATTGCCGATGACGCTACGTTTTTGGTAGTATCAAGAGTGCTCGCTACCGTATCTACAAATGAATTAACTAATAAGCATATTATAGAAAAAAGTGCGTGTGTATAAAGTACATGTCAGAAGTGAAACTTCTTTGTAAATTAATTATTCCTAATAGATGATCATATACCAGTATATGATCACTCCATGTATTTGTTTATCTATATTCACACTGTATACGAGCTAATCATAATATGAATAAATAATAAATCTGCGTTTACTGCACAAGACGTTATGCGACGGAATTGCCATCTAAAGTTCTAATATGTAACTACTAAACGAATACATCAACCAAGAGCGTGTATTTTTTCTCGATCTCCCTTACTATCTCTCTCAATCGTTCTCACTATAGCTCTCTCCCACCTCTCGCTCTGTGGCACTATGCGTAATGCGACGTTAGCTCTACCTCACTCTCGCTTTCGATCTTTCTCACTTGCTCGCTCCCTTTTCTTCGACAAAACCGCTGCACATCTTCGTGACGCTAATATTATTATTGCGTTTCATCCATACAAATGTTACCCTCATGCGCCTAAAGAAGTTTCACTTCTAAAATATACGACATACAAAATGTTCAGCTACCTTTTGCTGCACCAACTAATGAGGATCCTTTTTCATAAACGGATGAAGCCACGTTCTTACTAGCATCTACTGTACCGTACAATGTATTTGTAACTGAATCTACAAAAATGATAAAAGTGAAATAAAAAATATAAAACAAAATAACGAAATAAGTAAAATATCTACCTTTAGCACTTCCTACTAAAGAAACTCCTTTACCGACAGCTGACGCTGCTACATTTTTAGTACTATCTATCGTGCTAGATACTGTGTCTAAAAATAATGAGAATACATGAATAAAAAAATATTCTTAAGAATCTATGTTAATGGTTTCATAATTGAGTGTACCTTTCGCGGAGCTAACATAAGAAGTTCCTTTATCGTACGCAGATGTTGCTACTGATTTAGAAGTATCTACAGTAGAATGGACTGAATTTGTAACTGATTCTACAAATAAAAATCAAAGTATAAATAATCGATAAATCTTAAAAAAAACTAAACAAATAATAAAAAAGGAAGAAAAAACAAAAATATGTGTACCTTTAGCACTATTAATTAAGCCAAATCCTTTATCAGCTGCTGATGCTGCTACATTTTTGGTAGAATCAACAGTGCTTGCTACGGTGTCTACAAATTAATAATTAAACTTAATGCTTTGGCAAAACAAATGGATTTTGAAACAGCAAAAACATAGATAAGCACACACGAATACCTCTAGCAGTGCCTGCTAATGACGTGCCCTTTTCTACAATATTTTGTGCCACAGATTTGGTCGTGTCCACTGCGCTTTGTGCTGCAGTTTTAGTTGTGTCTACTGCGCCTTGTGCGACAGATTTTGTCGTATCTACGGCATGTACTACGGTGTCTAAAAGCGAACATAAAATGTTAGGGGCTAGCGAACGAGTTTAATCAAACGCACGCAAAAAAATACCTTTAGCGGTGCCTACAAGAGCAGTGCCTTTTTCAACAGCCGCTTGGGCAACATTCTTTGTTGCATCAAATGTGATTTGTACGGTATTAGTCACAGTATCTAAAATGAAGACGTGATAAAGCGTAATGAACAATTTGCTTAAAACAATTAATTTACGTTGATTCTACCTTTAGCTGCACCAATGTATGATGACCCAGTATCAACAACTGACGTGGCCGTTTTTTTGGTAGAATCTACAGTGCTGGTGACAGAGTCTATGAAAATTAAGTGATATTTAATTTCTAATTCTAATATGGCAACTACATGATCGTCTTTTCAGTTTTTTGTACCTTTAGCTGTATCGACGTAAGATTTTCCAGTTTCGACTACAGAATTGGCTGTGCTTTTTGCTGTATCTATTGTGCTCTTAAATGTGCTTTGAACGGTATCTATGAGACATAAATGGATTAGCTTAAGCAAGCTTTTGAATGAAACAAGATACTCTTAAGTACGTTTATTACCTGAAGCAGAGTCAACGTAAGATTTTCCGGTTTCCATTGTACTTTGAGCAGCTTTCTTTGTACTATCAACAGTGCTTGTAACAGTATCTACAGCAACATAAGAAATAATATCTCTAAGAATTACCAACGAAAATGTAACAAAATTGATAACATTAATAGCAAAATATAAAACAGTATGCCAAAAGAACACTCAAGGTAAATTACAACAAAAACAATGATAATTGGAGTCGATGTTTGTTTTATGAATTTTTAATGTTAGAAAAAAATCCTACAATGACTTTGGCGTTGATTTAGACGCCAACTGTGATATATGTGAAGTAATTAGCGTGCCTAATAAATAATGTTAGCAGCAGAAACCAAACGTTACAAAGGAAAAAATCACTATTTTATACTCGCTCCATCAAAACTTAATGCGTTAGATTCATTGAAAACTACATTTCACATTCAACAGTACCTTTGGCAGAATCTATATACGCTTTGCTTGCTTCGACTCTTGCATTTTTGTTCACCCCTACGGTTTCTTTAAAAGATTCGATTATTATAAACAAAGCTATTTTGTTTATTAACTCATTAATATTTTATTACCTTTAGCTGTATCTACGTAACCCTTTCCAGTATCAAAAGCAGATTGTGCTGATTTTTGTGCAGCTTCTACTGTGCTTGATAATGTATCTAGAATAACATAATTACTTAGATATGTTATGGTTTTATTGCTATTTTTTAGATAAGTGTAATAACTACCTTTGGCACTAGTGACATACGATTTTCCCGTATCAACAGCTGATTGAGCCGTTTGCTTTGTCGTGTCTACAGTTGATTGAATAGTATTTGTAACGGAGTCTAAAAAATATTAATTTTGTTTTATTCTACTATTGCAATTTTTGTAAAGAAGAAAGTCTTTGTGTGTGACAGCTTACTGTTAATCGGGTCATTGCCCACATTAATCATAATAGAACCGGGTATTCTACTCTTCTAACTGGATATAAAAAAACTCAGTTCCGTTCGAATTGTTAAAACGTTTATAATTGGAAGGCACATGAAAATAGAATCTGTGTTACCTTTTGTGGAATCGAAGTACGATTTTCCTGTTTCTAAGGTACTTTGAGCGGACATCTTTGTGCTATCTACAGTACTTGTCACAGAATCTATGGAGCGACACAAGAATCGTTTTAAACAGTTAATATTGACGATGTCTTTGTCTGTCTTATGGTAAAAACGCTTAACAAAAATCACCGTACCTTTATTAGGATAGGATAGTAAAAGAGTATAAAGCACGCATTAGGATTATTAAAGACACGGGATTTTGATATTAGCACAGCACAGCACAAACACTTATAAAATATTTCACACTTCGTTCCGGAAATATAAATATGGCACCGAGCCGTTAATAAAACCTCTCTTTTGGCACAAATGTTTTCTTATGACGTTATTACGTAAAATTATCGTCCGTAACCCGAATTAACAGACAATTAAATTTATTTTATACTTGTATTCGGACCTGAAGAATCACCTAAGTAACTTTTACTAGTATTAAACACCGAGTGGACAGTATTTTGAGCAACTTTTATAGTACTCGATAATGTATGTAAAATAATAATAAAATTATTTTAAAGTCTATCACTTTATATTTTGAATAACTTTCCAAGTTTTACCTTTCACACTATCTAAGTAACCTTTGCCGCTCTTATCGTCAACTGTTACAATAAATATATTTAATTTATATTTATAGGAACTACAAAAACATTGTTTGTTTATATTTATGTACCTTTGACCCCGCCTACCCGTCTGTCTGTCTGTCTTTATCATCAATTCTAAATATAATTAAGTGATAAGATTACTAAGTCGTCTTTCTGTTGCTAAAGTTCAATATGCTTTGGAAATACCTTTATCAAAATAACTTTTATTATCATCCTTAGTGTTTTTCACGATATATGATGTACCAACTAAATATTTAATATTTTAATGGTATTTTTTATAAAAATGTATATTATTATTTTTATTACTGCGTATAAAATTTTATATCAAAACTGTCCCGGTTAGACCCGTCTCAGCTCTCGGACAAGCACAAAAGCTGACGCGGGCACAGAGCAGGCGGAAAATAATATGATTTTTTTTTCCTTTAACTATGTATATATATTATAATATATATATATTATAATATATATATATATATATATATTATTACTATGTATGTTAAGAATATTGCGAGTTCTGTGTATTGAAAATAAATATATTAAATACGTATTAAGACTTGTAAAGTTTCGAATACCGTTTGTGCAGTGTTCTGCGTGTCTTCTACTTTGTTTACAATTGCATCTAAAATATTTATATACATATATCAATTTGTTAGAAAAAACTTCACAATTCTAAAACTAAAGTAAAACCGAAGTATTGATGTTCAACATAAAAATATGAGTATCATTTATTGTGTATAAAAGAAAATTCTTTGAAAAGTTTAGACGGATGGAAATGGCTATCTGAAGTCATTGACATAAGCTTTAGAAAACTGTGGCTCAAAAATCTAGATATTGTAAAATTGTGGTAATAAATTATTATTTCTTTCTTACCTTTTACACTAGAGACATATTGTTTAGTTGTCTCTAAAAACGAATCTCCACTTTCCTTGGACATTTCTAATGAATTACCAGAACTTTCTACAATAAAATACAAATTAAAATACTATTTTGCTTTTAAACTAATTTATTTTAATATATCACGACCAATCTTTACGAAAATCTGCCTGTTTCTACTATGTATTCAATTTTAAATATAGATTGGGCCAAACGAGATTTGTTTCGATTATGATAATAACGATAAAAACAGATTATTCCGTAATCATAACTCAATTCAGTAGACAGTAGAATTATCTGATTACGTGATACGTAATATTTAAAAAATGTTTACTATACTGTGCTAATTTCAAATTTGGAAGAATAAAGCAAAAGATAGAAGAGTCATGCAAGTTATAGAAATGTTTAAAAATCGAACTTTATAGGTTAAACAAAGAGTTTTTATATAAAGCATAATTAGTGTTATAGAAATACCTTTTGCCCCAGTTGCGTAACTCTTTCCCGTATCCACAACAGACTGTGCTGTGCTCTTAGTAGTGTCTACAGTGCTACTGAGTGTATCTACAATACATGCATTGTTTTTAGGTCCTATATGATAAACAAGGTTAAAAAGCGCTAACTTTTCAAGGTCTGTACACAAACATCAATTTAAACACACGTTATCTATATGAACTTATTTATAAATTTGTCATCACAACAAAAATCTCCACAGCTCCACACAGGGCCAAATTAACCGGTAATTTTCCTTTGACACATATACATATATATTTAGGTTTTTGATTTTTATGGTGTTTGTATTGTAATGTTAGCGGACTAACGCCATTTTGTAGCAGAAACCTATATAAAGCGTGGCAACACCGGCGTTGACTCACTTTTATTTCGAGACTTCGTGCGGAATGGACTTGTTACTAACCTAACCTCAGTAGATTTTAAAAGTCTGAAGTACCTACACGTTCTAATCTTTTGTGTTTCCTAATATCAGAATTGGGATTTGAACTTTTCGCTCACTTCTCTTTTGTTTTGAGTAATCTTTGTGGTTTAAATTTTCCTTCTCTTTGTGTCCGTAATGTACGAAGTCACAAGTGATTAACATTTTAAAAGTGCTCTTTGTGTTAAAATGTTGTTTGTGTTTGTGAGTGCAACAGTGTCGCATTAAATTCGGGATCGTCTAGTCAGCAAGGTAGACGAGAGATGCTTTGACAGAGGACGGCCGAACGGTTGAAGAACAGTCAAATCAATCAGGACACTGTCGTTAATGTGGGTCGTAGACCCCCTTGTAAATTCCAGAAGGATGATCTGGTCTTTGTTATTAAGAACATGCAAACATGGGTTTCTGTTTTAAATTTTTGTGGTGCTAATGTGTTTAGACCACTTTGAGAACATACAAGTGTATGGGTCTCTGTTTTAAGTTTTTCTGGTGCTAATGTGTTTAGACCACTTAGAGAACATGCAAAATGTATGAGTCTCTGTTTTAAAAAAATGTCGCTTATGAGAGCACTAGGAGCCACTGTCGATACGACGGTGTATTGCAAATATACTGAGTTTTATCTTTATTTGTGTTAAGTCTGAAGCTATCTAATTCTGTAATATTTGCTTTTTGAAAGATCAATGGACAGGGTAACCAGCCCCAAACTCATGATCTTCCTGTATAAATGGTAAAAAGATCAATGGACAGGGTAACCAGTCCCAAACGCACGATCTTCCTGTATAAATGGTAACAAGATCAATGGACAGGGTAACCAGCCCCAAACTCACGATCTTCCTGTATTAATGGTAAAAAGATCAATGGACAGGGTAACTAGCCCCAAACTCATGATCTTCCTGTATGAATTGTAAAAAGATCAATGGACAGGGTGACCAGCCTCAAACTCACGATCTTCCTTTATGAATGGTAAAGATCAATGGACAGGGTAACCAGCCCCAAACTCACGATCTTCTTAAGAAATAAGTAGACCTTTATACCTTATATCTACTCTTATGGTGATACTAAACTTGTAATTGTTTACACAAGGCCTTTACACATGAAAGTGATAGTTTGTTTCAAATCTTGTAAGGGTTATAAATAATCTTTCACTCATTCCTTGGAGTCTGATACTTTAAAGTTCCTTTCTATCTTTCATTACTTTGATTGTTTGTATTAAACCAAGTAAATATGTTCAGCTGCTGACCAAATAGACGACGCAATACCTTCCCAGAACTGTAATGTTCTAACGTTCTATTCTACCCACAGAGATGACAGTATAGACGCTGGGACATCAAATCCTGACGAGGACGTCAGGGTGTCAGGAGAGGCCGTGTTAGCGGACTAACGCCATTTTGTAGCAGAAACCTATATAAAGCGTGGCAACACCGGCGTTGACTCACTTTTATTTCGAGACTTCGTGCGGAATGGACTTGTTACTAACCTAACCTCAGTAGATTTTAAAAGTCTGAAGTACCTACACGTTCTAATTTTTATGGTGTTTGTATTGTAAAATATATTCGTATCAATTAGATACTCTTATATATATACCGATATATTTATAGGGTTTGACACGAAAGCTTCTATTAGTAAAATAATGCTTTATTTGTGCAGAAGTTTTTATAGAAGGCATGGGACGATATAAAAAAAATAGCGTATTCTCTGTCGATTCGCCTCGGTAGAGTACGCCAAGAATGGAAAAATTTAGAGATGCTGCAAGCTGTAAATAGCCGTAGCCGATAGATATAAAGAATTTAGAAAGTAATTTATACTGTGGTGTAGCCCTTCAGGCACCAAGAGGTTTACTTAGTGGTTATTTTGGTATCTCAAAGGTGCTGTCAAACAATTTTTTCAGTTTGAATTTTGACACATTTGACAGCGAGACGAGATTGTCACTTGTCATACGAATTAGATATGGGCCTGAGTTGATGTTGATAATAATAATAATAAAATTATAGATTGATATTAAATATTAATATTTTTTAAATTTATTGTTTACTTAGGCATATTAATTTTTCTAAGCATTTAATTTAAGATGCATTAATGGCTTTTTATTTATTAATATTAAAGTTTACTTTCAACTTTTATACGGGATTATACCTACTGAATAAGGGTGTCAATTTATAGGTGACCCGGATTGTATTCTATCTTCCTGCACAAATCCGGCTTCTAGAAATATACCTATAGTTCTATAAGAAAGATCCTTAAAGATAGCGCTTTTAAATGATATCTTAAGTACTTACCTTTTGCTGTGTTCAGTGCTGTTTCCGCTGCTTTCTTTGTGTTATCAACTGTCGTAGCTAGCGTATCTAAGGAAGAAATAAGCGAAATAAAAAAATGGTGCATGGAAAACATAAATTGTAAAAAAATCATAATTGACCCTGAATAAAATGATTCACTCAATAATTGGTGCGGTAATAGCTGAATAGGACAAAGCATTAAAAAATCATTCTACAAATGGTATTACCGTGGGTAAATAAATTGATTTACCAATCGATTAGATCGTCAGCATCTCGTTCCTGACCATGGTTATGCTATTTAAATTAAGTAATAAAAATAATTATGTATTACGTCACAATCATAGAGAATTGTAGAACCTGACTGGTACATATCAAATGCAAACCCACTCAAAGCTCTGTAAAAAGCCGTCAGGTGTCGCTCTAGGCATTCTACTTAAAGGTACGATTCCACCAGTATGTTGAACCGTGCGGCACATTGTTGCACAGCGTACGGCACAAATGTTTGTTTGGGTCGACTCATTCAACATAGCTAAAATATTCGCTGTGCACCTTGTGCGCGCACACGGCACACCGCACAAGTAGTGGACTCGTGTCGACGCGCGAACTCATCCTGCTTCCGCTACCAAATTATTGTGCGCGCACAATCTAGTAATTTTTTGAATAATCAAGAATTATATATTAGGTCCTTACATATGAAATTGGCGTATTTCGTACTGGCCACTTTAATCACGACGTTCTCCTCTATGGTAAGGAATTCGAAATTCAAATTTGTACAGCTATTTACTCATGTATTTGTGCTTCGATGACCGTCATTCATTTGTTTTTTTCTGTTTGCGTCACTCATTTTACAAAATGGAAAACTTAAAGTATCGCATTATTTACGAGTACGAGTTCCGCCGTGGCACTAGTGCTGCGGAAACGACTCGAAGGGTGAATGATGTGTAAGGCGGTCATGTTGCAAAAGAAAACACAGTTCGTTTTTGGTTCCAACGTTTTCGTTCTGGAAATTTCGACCTGCAGAACAAGCCCCGTGGACGGCCTGAGACCCAAGTTGATAATGAAGTATTGAAGGCTACTGTGGAAGCGGATCCATCGCAAACCACGTCCGAGTTAGCTGCAGGCTGCGGTGTTAGTGATAAAACTGTTTTAATTCACTTGAAGCAAATTGGGAAGATTAAAAAGCTTGAAAGATGGGTACCTCACGAATTGACTGAAGCAAACCGGCAAACGCGCGTCGACTGCTGCGTTACATTACTGAACCGGCACAATAATGAAGGTATTTTAAACCGAATCATTACCTATGATGAAAAATGGATTCTTTACGATAATCGGAAGCGCTCAGCGCAATGGTTGGATCCTGGCCAGCCAGCCAAATCCTGCCCCAAGCGAAAATTAACCCCAAAAAAGTTACTTGTAAGCGTTTGGTGGACTAGTGCCGGTATTGTTCATTGCAGTTTTCTCAAATCTGGCCAGACTATTACGGCTGATGTCTATTGTCAGCAATTGCAAACCATGATGGCAAAGCTAGCGGCTAAACAACCTAAGCTGGTCAATCGCTCCACGACACTGCTACTTCACGACAACGCTAGACCACACACTGCACAACCGACGGCTACCAAATTAGAAGAGCTTCAATTGGAATCTCTAAGACATCCTCCGTACTCCCCGGACCTTGCTCCAACAGATTACCATTTTTTTCGAAATTGGGACAACTTCTTGCAAGGGAAATAATTTAATTCTGATGGGGCAGTCCAAATCGCCTTCACAGATTTTATTGATTCCCGTCCGACTGGTTGTTTTAGTAAAGGGATCAATGGACTACCTATGAGATGGCAAAAGTGCATAGAAAACAATGGTTCATACTTTGATTAAATAAATATATTATATTTAAAAATATTCGACTTTTTGTTCCTCCCATACAAAACGCCAATTTCATATGTAAGGACCTAATATTAGGGGAAGCCCGGGCAAGACGCTTGTTAAGTTATAGATAAACAAGTTCGTAAACAATTGTGAGCTCACAAAAGTTACACACAGCATTGCGGGTGGAGACAGAAGCCAAACGCGATACGTGCTTAGTTTTGCTATTGTTTTGAACAACATTCTGCAACAGTGCTGCACGCTATTTTTGGTGGAATCGTACAACTTAGATCTGCGATCTGAAATCGAGACCTATACTCCAGCGGTGACAGACCCTGAAGAAATCGTTTAGCCACACGTCCCACACTGTTTTAACAAAGACTTCTAGTCGTAATGTAATTGTACATATAAAAGTTTATATATTAAATAGCCACATATAAAACAATATATAATCATTTCTACAATACCCCAGCTGCTCGACTATATCACACAATTTAACCCAGGACATTTTCTATGCACGCTTGTTCATAGTTTAGTCTTGAAGGACCTCCTTAGAAGGAGGACTCACAAGGATAACATATAACCAATAAGTATGATGTATTTCAACCTATATCCTATATTACCTTTGGTGGTGTCAACGACCTTCTTGCCGTCAGCTACTGCCTTCGCTGCCGCGTCCTTCGCCTCACCAGCAGCTAGGGACACCTTCGACAGCTCCTTGTCGAGAGCATCAATAGCCGACTGCTTCGTTTCAGTTGCTGGAAATGTTTGTAATTAGCTAGCATGTCTCACTGTACTTTATCAGCTGCTGTTTTTGATCCATAATAATTTAATAAAATGATATGGATGGGTAATATATAATAATATCGTTTAATATTTATATCTTTAATTGAAGATACTGATACGTACTATTTTACTATAAACAAAGACTCATTTGTTTTATTCGTAATATGAATATTAAAAACATACGAACGTGTTAATACACTTTTGAGTTATCATAATATTTGGTGTCACCGATAATTATCCTACATTAGTCACTCGTTACGAAATCAATATGGAATAATACAGCTATAGATAGCGAAGACAGGATTTATGATAATATATGTTTAATAATAAACAAAACTATCAATGGAAGTTCTTATTTACACTAAACTCATTATAACTTGACTAACGAATATAAAAAAAGTTTTACACATTATTGACATTACTACTTATAGCAATCTGCATAGATTTTATGTATGCTAATAAAGAAATCGTGAGATTTTCGTTTAATCCAAAATATTATAAACTCTCAATAATAATCAAAATACAGTTCAAAATGGCTTATTAATCCACGGATATCAGTAGACTGCTGTTAATAAGTAAAGATGTGATTTCTTAAACTAATGTAACGGATAAGCTATATATTAAATTAGAACACATAAGCTATATGTTATCGCTCGACAATGTGGAGCCTGATGCAGCTGAAAGCCAGTAACTGTCGGAAAATCCTACCGAACAGGGAGCGTTTCGAAGGCCAGGACACATTTTTGAAGAGCCAGCGGAGCTAATCAGACAACCGTTAAGATTTTGACGAATTTGTTGCAAAATTTGAAAGCAGGTGAAGTTCTCAGTAACTAAACTCAAACTCAAAATAACTTTATTCATATAGTTAAACAAATACACTTACAAAAAAGAAGCTAAATTAATTGCAAATTTACATTTACTACCAGTTCGCAAGTCACGGGTAGAGCGGGCAAGAAGAACTGGCAAGAAACTGTCCGCCACTCTTTTTAATCGCTAATTTTTGAGTCATACAAATTGTTTGATCTGGAGCAAAGCAATCCCAAGGATTAGGATCATTTAAATATTCGTCAGATTTATAAAAAGCTTTATTGATTAAATTACTTTTAACGAGGGCTTTGAATTTATTTAGCGATAATTCTCTAATTTCGCTTGGGAGTTTGTTGTAAAAACAATTTCCATACTGGAGCCTGGTTGGTCGTACACTCAAACTACGAGATAAATATAATGTTTGTATGGAAATTTATTACATAACTACAGATACCTGAGTTAGCAGCATCATTAGCGCTCTTCTCTGCACCAGCGATCAGTTCACCAGTCTTTTTCACCTGCTCTTCGACAACGTGGGCGGCCTCAGCTGCTTTCTCCTGGGCGATCTGCTCAGCATCCTTCTTCTTCCTCTCGAAGAGGGATGCTGTTTTCTCTCCGATGCTTCGGAACGCACCTAGAAGTTATATATATGATGAAACAAGTATCTAAATAAAAAATGGGTACTGGGTGGGGCAAAAATTCTGGTATTGTTTGGTTAGGTTAGTTTATATTTGAATTTTAAAGTTTAAGAATAATAAACCCCTAACCACTTTCACGCACCGGGAACAGTTATTTAAATAAAATATTAATATACTAACCTAACCAAAAAATACCAGAATTTTTGCCGCGGTGGCATTAATACGTAAGTACCAAAAAATGTTACTCATATTTATTTTAAAAGCGCATTTGATTATATCATACGTTTTATAAAAATAATTATAATAGAACTTCATTAATTCAATTATATAATGCTATTAAATTAACAGAATCAATACGCATAATTACGATTATATTTCTAATACTACCCGAGATCTATTACATAAAATTACGGAGCACTAGCTGCACCCGCGAACATCGTTTCGCCTTAATATGATAACATACCAACATATGGAACATTTTGCTACCCCATAGAGGCTATTCTGTTTCCGGAACAGTTCCAATTTTTATCACTATAAAAACCCTTCCTCAGAATACAAGGAATAAATTTACAAAAAAACTCGAATTGGCCCAGCCTGTTTCGCGTTTACCGCTTAGCAACGTATTTTCGATTCATTTTTATTCATATATGTATTTACATTTTAATTGTAATATAATTTAAATATGCGGTCGCAAATATAGTTCGCAATTAATAAGGCCATGTAACTTAATTTAATTACGAATTTCAAAACGATATTCGTATACAATCTTTATTTTAATGCGAAAGTAGTAAAACACAATATTGCTTAGTTTTCAGGTATTGTATTTCTTGGAGATAATAAAGTTACAAAAAATAATATAAGTTACGTATTTGCAAAAAATAATTTTCAAATAATTTCATTAATATTCTTTTCCTATAGAATTTCGTAATATGTACTCTCCAGCGTGAATGTGCAGAATAGTCTCGCAAGTAATTCCGAAGTACTATACTGGTGGCCAAGGTACAGTAAACGAAAGTGGAAGAGGAACACGTTAGAAGGTGGATAGACCAAATTAAAGAAACAGCAGGTGGTACATGGTAAAGAGTGGCACAGTGCAGAGAGGAATGGCGGGATTTGGAGGCCTTTGCCTTACAGAAGATTGAAATAGAACGATTGATATATTCCGGAGTAACAATACCAGAAGCCATTGAGGGGTCAGAGGTTGTAGTAAAAGTTAACGGAAAGGTCATCAACAACATTCGCTATGCAGACGACACTGTTTTAATAGCCTCATCAATGGACGTTCTTCAAGTTCATAAAACGAAACACGGTCGAACGACGCTTTAAGGCCTAATCTATCTGTAGCTGGTACTGTACTTCCTATAAGAAATGAATACGGAACAGATATTATATCAAATACAGAAATCTAAGGCCCAGACCAAAACGGCGGGTTTGTAGAAAATCATGGCTAGCGTTAGGGAGTGGACCGAGTATTGCGAATGTAGAAGAGTGCTGCATCTGGCACATGACAAGACACGCTTCGCGAGACGGCCAACTTCCAGTTACGGAGAGGAAACCATAAGAAGTTACTCGCAATACAATAAATATGATCAAAAGTCAAAATCATTTATTCATAAAGGTAACTCAATGTTTTATGAACGTCAAAAAAGAAATACATATTAAATGCTTCTAATTTTACATTTACTGCCAGTTCTTGAATCAAGGGTGTAGAATGGAAGAGAAGAACTGGCAATAAACTCTCCGCCACTCTTTTTAATCGGCAAGTTTTTTGTTTTACACAATGTTTGTAAGGAGCTGCAACCATTACACCATATTCCACATCAACAATCATAATAATAAAAATACAAGTGTATATATAAGTCTCCCAGACAGTGCTGGGGTTATCGATTACCTCAAGCGGTCAAGGTGACTTGCGATTGTCAGTAAAAACAGGCATTTACGAACTCGCTACTGACTTTAAAAGGCTTCGTATATATCAATAATGTATTTTGGGAAAAATTTATCTCTGTTATATTGACTATGTAATAAGTCAGTGATTATTAATAGAATGGTTCACCTGTACTGCTGAGGCCCTGGTACCACAACCCTGAAGGTTTAAGATGAGATGTATGGTTTTATAAATATAAGTCAATCGTTTATTGAGAATAAATGAACAATGTGGAAAAATTATGCTCAGTATTTTATTTCATCGAAGAAGGGATATGTTCAAACCGTACCTCCATATCGGTGAAACCTCATTAAACATCGACCCTGACGACCTGTGTTTGACGGCGTGACGCACTACCTGTATAGCAATGACATAAGCTCACGCAGCACCTGAGCGATTGAACACGTATGGCGTCACACCTATCGCAAAGTTTATTTCAGGTCGTAGTCATGCTGGTTTTAGGATCAGATTCAGAAACCAGACGTAGCGCTAAGATAGACTCTCTTGCGTCAAAAATGTATTGCAGTTTTTTTTAAATTAAATAGAAGGCAAACGGGCAGGAGGCTCATCTGATTAAGTGATACCGCCCATGGACACTCACATTGCCAGAACGCTCGCAAGTGCGTTGCGAGCCTTTCAAGAATTGGTACGCTCTTTTCTGACCCTAATTCGAATTGGTTCGAAAATACTATAATTTGACGTAAATCATAGTTTCGTTTAGAATCTCACACTTATAGATTCATCCAGCCCTCTAATATGACTTAATATCAACATACTGGCCCTAATTTGATGATTAACATCCAAAAGATGCATTCTATTTGGATCCTTTTAAGAAAGTCAAAGAACAATTAAATCCGAGTTCTTTTTCTTGTATGTAAACCTAAAAAAATTGAACTCATAAGAAACAAATATCATGTTTACGCAAAAATTGTTTTATAATAAATCTATTTCGTTTAATTGAAACAGGAAATAATGTTACCATTTAACTATCATAATTATTTTCAAGGTTTATGGTACGAATTGGTGGTGAACAAGGAGACAAACAAATTAAATACTGGTTTTCGCACTCACCAAGGTTCTTGTCTGTCAGCATTGAAACATAGAAAATATAATTTAATTATATTCTTCTTAAGTCTAAATACCATGCCATATGAATCATGCTACTATATCTACATTGTGAGAATTATGATAAAGTAGCAACTACGTGCCTTAAAACGACTTGTCGCCTTGAATGAATGTCTTATTTCAATTTAAGCCTTATATTAAGGACCTATCCGGTCGCCAAACTTGAAAAAAGTACATTGTTTCTTTCCATTTTTCGTCATCGTTTCCCGAATTGATTGGTTAAAATATATGGTGGAGTTGAGTAGTTTTTGTATCCATTTTGAAAGATCGATACACGATATATAAATAACTTCACTCGATAAAAAAAATCCAAACATAGCCAATTTTTGACACTTTGAATTCATTTTATGACGAAAATGTATATAGAACATGATTTTTAAATATACAAGATATATTTTACAGCAAGCCAAGTAATCCATTTCAGAGAAAAAAATTGATAAAATTACATTAATTTAATGTTTAACATAACTAATTGTTATTACGGGCCGGCACGCCTCAGTGCTCCAGCTCTCCACTAAGACCTGCAGTCCACCCCGAGACACTGACACAGCAATTCGTGCTGGGATAGGGCCTTAATGCTAAGGCGATGCGAAGCGGGTAGCTGGTTCCACATGGTGGTGGGCGGCAAAAATTGCTAAAACGCTCAGTTCTGGAACGCCGGACGTCGGGGTATCACTATACTATGATTGTTTTGGATTTCCACGTGTTTCTTCTGATTTTTATGAGCTTATGATTATTACGTGAGTTAATAATATATAAATAATGATTTGTTACTAATCTAACTAACACTAAAACTACTCCATAATTATTGTTGATTAAACTTCATTGGTAAATATTATTATGGTATTATTCTAAGCTATGGATATGAAAGCATGCAACGATACTATTTAAATTTTTATTGACGTTATTGTGTTCATGAAGCGTAAAAAACGTAATAACAGACGCAAACCTTATATAAAAATATATTGTCAGAGCTAATGAGAGAGTTTCGATGATATCAAATTAAAATATCATTTACTAGCGGCCCGTCCCAGCTTCGCACGGGTGGAAATTTATTTTTTAAACATTTTGGCATAAATGGGACATACCTAAATGATAATATATTTAGCAATAGTGTATCGCTCTAATTGCTCTTTTTCTCTTTCTGTCAAATAGCGTTTACGCTCTGCTGAAAGAGATAGATGTTAGTCGCCTGTGGATATGGACCCCTCATGGGTCAAGGCCTCCTCCAACTCTTTCCAGATATCTCTTATCTTTGCCAATAGTCTGCCAGTCTTTTCCTGCTATTTCTATCAAGCCCACCTTCTTTTTGGCCTGGCCACTCTTTCTTTCAGGGGTGGTCTCTTCCATTGTGTTGTCTTTAATGTTACAAGACAAACCCATTGCCAAATTTCAAAGCTTGTGGCTTAACATTTTTATTTATTTATAAAAACACTCCTGCCCTAACAGGCGACCCTAAATTGACAAGAGTGAACAATAAGTGAATAGAAAACAAAAACATAAACCAATAAGTTTTTCATAAAATGCAATCAAATCAAAAATCATTTATTTATGTAGCTAACACAATGTACATTATGAACGTCAAAAAAAGAAATATACATTAAATCCTTCTAATTTTACATTTATTGCCAGTTCTCAAATCAAGGGCGTAGAACGAAAGAGAAGAACTGGCAATAAATTTTCCGCCATTAAAAAGTAATCGCCAAGTTTTTGTTTTACACAACGTTTGTAAGGAGCTGCTACCATTACACCATGTTCCACATGACATCTTAAGTATTAAATAATAATAAAATAAATTAAAAAAAGTGTGTGTGTGTCAGCTACTACGCACGATTGGAGTTTACTCCTTACGAACGATAAAATGGCGATAATGTTCTGTGGCTGTCGACCATATTTTCATACTAAAGGTGGTAAGAATATATGTTTTTATAATATAAATGTTTGTAGTAGTAATAAAACGTACCTACATCATCTATGCCCAAATAGGATTTTCTTTCTGTGACCAAAGTTACCTTTATAGTAAGAGAAGAATAAGAATGAACAATCTTTTTAGTTTTAATTTCACTGACCATTACTATTGACAAAACTCTATGGCACGCTAGACAATCTACTTTTATTTTTTACACCTGTCAACACTGACAATGTTGTAACGTGGCTGTCAAAACGTGAATTCAAAATAGAAAAGTCTGTGTAATGTATTCCATCTCATTCTTTTACACGTTCAATCCTACAGATATATTATATGTTTGTCTCTTTCTACATAACGCCTCAACTTTTCGTGTTACACTTGATTTTACTCCTCATAAAATTTCCGTACCGGGCCTTATAACTCAAATCGTTTCGGAGTAAACTCCAAAACAAAGATTTGTCATCAATCAGCAGGAGGCAAACTTATCGCTTGACCCTAACGTAAACTACTTCGAACAGATCGAAAATCTTACTTATTTAATACAAGTTAATGTATTTTTAAGCGACGCAAGATTCTTGGCTGTGATATTAGATTTTATTGGTTTCTTCCTATTGCACCTACGCAGATCAGTATGGACCAGTGACCGGTCATACTAGTGCAATGATCTAGATTGTCTTGGTTAAAATAGATCAATCTAATTTAATAACTCTTGTAAATAATAGTTTCCGCATCGAAAATATTCAATTAGGTTTAGGTATGTCAAAAATGAGCTCTGAAAACTTTAAAAGCATGTTAAATTGAGTACAGATTTGAAGTTTGTTTAATTTCCAAACAAATAGGCGGTCATCCTTTCAGTCTAAGAAATGATGATTGCTTCAATGGGCCTGAAAAGTGTTTCAGATCCCAGAGGCATCTGCTGTCTGAGTGGAGCTCACAAACTGCCTTTCGCCAGCAGTCACCGATTCCGAATACGCTCGTTGTTTAAACGTTTTAACTAACTCTAATCCCTGAGTTCTTTCCAGGTGCGCATTTAGCATTCAATATCAATAGCAAAGAGTCGATGGGGTGAGTCCGGCACTGCCCTGCGATTCTGTAACTCACTTTTCGAACTCACACAGCGGTTTTCGCATCGGCGGTCGCTCTCAAATTCTGAAAAGGTGGGAGCTTGTTGCTTGAACTTTATTGTTTATCAGAATGCCAAATCATAAGATGACTGCTTCACGACTGATTTGAGAGCGACCGCCGATGCGAAAACCGCTGTGTGAGTTTGAAAAGTGAGTTACAGAATCGCAGGGCTGTGGTAATGATCACAGAAATCTGAGGCCCTGACCTCAAAGATTGGAGTTCTACAGTTTTTTGAATTAATTGATATTTTTACAATCATATAGTCATTAATGTCCGTTATATATATGCACGAATACTCAAAGGCCACTCGAACTATACTATAAATACAGCCGACTCATTTCATTGGAATGTATACAGGAACATTGTAAGTTCCTAAACATTGAATTTTGCGTACACTTCCTAGGTCATCGGGTGGTTTAAATAAAAGAGAAATTTATTTTTCCTCTATATGAAGCATTCGCGTACAATAGAATATAGTTTGGAAAATCCAAAAGTGCACGCCTCATAGCGGTCATTCACATTTAAAAAAAAACTAAAACAAAAACTCAAGTTTTTTAAAACAAAACAAATAAATTATTATCTTTAAGTCTCACGCTACGAAGAGTATTTTAACATACATATTTAGTGGCGCCATAACTCTAAGGTGAGGAACAGTCGTATTTTAGATTTTTACAAATTGTAATTAAACGACTGTACTTAGTACGCTAATATTAACTAGGAATCAGCCCAGGGTATAACTTTATATAATAAGAAAAAAGTATTCTGGTACGATAAATTTTTCGACCAATTTCTCTGCCACATACATGGATCCATAAACACAGACTGACGGACGTCCAAGAATGATTGATTTTAATGTTATTATTTACTATGTTAAACAAAATAATTGTTCATAAAAAATACCATATGTGCTTGATAGATTATTTAACTCGATTTTAGTGCACTCATATTATCCTGTAAGTGTTATATTAGTGAGAAAAAAGTCATTCAAGTTTCGAAAGACTGGGTTTTTTGACATGTCGAGAGTAGAGGACTGCGAGGCGTGCAATAAGCGAAATAATGAAATGTTCATTGCTATGTAACGATTGAATGCAATGTTGTAGTTGAAGAGAGCCTGCGTCTGGCTATACTCTCGGGCGTAACTCCCATGATTCAGTTACGCTTATAAAACTAAGAAAGACTGAGTGAGCAAAATGTACTCTGCCTTGGCTTGTACATGTAAAATTTAAGTGAGTTCGGATCCCCTTTATGTGCCTAAATATAATATACAATCGTTTTTCGCTTTTCATTAATAATTTTAATTAAATTATAGTTTATTTTTTAAAGAATCTCATACTTGGGCATTTATCTTGCTACCTTGTAGCTTACTATATTAATTTGATTCAGTAACATTGTATTTATACTATAGTCTAGTATATTTTATTTCTTTTTGTAATTTAGTTATGTATTTTAATTATCGTTAGGTGTCTTTATAGAGTGGGCGAGTAGTTTGGCAACATATAAATAACTTATTATTATGACATTATGTTATTATTCGTATTCTTATTATATGACATTATGTAAAATTCATATGACATTTCCATGTCTATTTTTATATGGATGATTGTGCGGATTTTTATAATTTCGATCTAAATGCACCAATATTGTTTATAAGTAATCAGGTTGACTAATTGCTTAATAGCAATAAGGTCGTTGTATAACAAACTGTGTTACCTGTTTTGTATTTACGTTAAGGGTAACGAAGTGTAAACAAATAATATTGTCAAGCCCATTTAAAAGTTTAAATTTTTTTATGTATCATCTAAGTCACTATCAAATGGTATCTTTCAGGGGCTAAGACGAAACTACAAAAGGAAAAGTCTATTGTGAGACATAAAATTTATAGTAGACGCAGCTGGTCTAAGGGAGCGTTCAAGTATTACGTAACGAATTTGGGG